AGGCTGACCTACAGAAATCAAACTGCTAAGGTGGGGGCTTATCTCAGCAAACAATCTGTTGGCTGCTTTGCCTGTCTCTTATCAGTATCCAGTGGTCATGTGGCTGTAGCTGTGACCTGTATGAAGCAAGCAAGGCCAGCCTTGTTTAGCCAATCCCCAGCTCTTTGGTCTGAACTCCCTGCTACAGAACTCCAGCAGAAGAGGGATTTTTTCTCTCTCTTCCTTGGTAACAGGAGTCCAGTTCAGTGTGCTTTACCTTCATAAAACCTCCTCTGTGTTACACATAATCAATGCCTTCATTCCGAAAATTTGACAGTGCTGTTATGCAGTAGCTCCACAATTCCATTATTGCAAAATCTAACATGTATTTCTCCTTAATTGGGCATAACAAGAGTTATATCGTACGGTGGTGCTTTTTATCCCCTCTGTTTACAATGAGTCATAGAAGTGGGAGTGATCAACTGGAGGGTAATATTTACTGCTGTAAAACACCCATGTCTTTTGAGTGCTAGGCCCCAATGCTCTAGCTTGCCATTTTTAAGCTGCGAACCGCTGTGACTTTCTTTCCCACTGAGGGAGCCATGGGAACATGATGTTCTGTCACTGAGCTATACACCATGTATCCAATGGTAGCAATAGGAGTGACTGTGCAACTGCAACAATGTGACTAATGCATTGTCATCAAGGAATAAGAGGTGAGAATTTTGAGTGTTGCTCTGCAGTGGTGTCATGGCAACAAAGCACATTGACAGATTGCCTGGTGTGAAGGGCTGGCTTTGAAAATCTCATTTCACTGCAAGACTCAAACCCAACGACGAAAAATCTTCCAGTTTATATTGCCAGCAATGAAGTGACGCAAAGCCAGAGGGTGGCAAGATTCATCCCTGCTTAGTTTTTCCTTCTGTCGCACAAAACCAGCCTCCTCCAAGATGGATCATTGGGCCATCAGACTAACATTTGAAGGCAATCATGAACCTATCAACTACATGGGATCTCATCATTCCCCTCCCCCCGCCACGTTCTATTATTATTACGTGAAGTAAGGAGAAGATAGCTGGCAGCTCCCTTCAGGGGTTTGGCTGTATGACATAGGGGGTAGACCACACCATTCAACCCACCTGTCAGTCATGTGGCATCATTATGACACCAGATCATTGACAGATGCCTTGCGGCACCCGCCTGTCAAAGTCCTTTGCACAATGCTTTCCAAGCACCTGGCAGCCAGCTAGTTTTCCGGCACTTGGGTTTTTGCCAGCCCTGGGCCCAGCAAAGCACCATGCACAGGACTTGCAAAGCAGCTATCTGCAGGGATTGGCTGCTGGAACTTGGTTGCACAGCCGGTGCAGGAGGGTTGAACTCTGCTCATCAGCTGATAGGTGGTGACTTCAGCTCTGCGCTCTGCAGGATTCAGTGATGCAGTCGAGTCCCCCAAAATGGCTTCACAGGCCAAATTGGAACCCATGCTGAAGGTTCCCTACCCTCATATAGAGAAACAATGATTATTTTTATTTGTCTATAAATGCTGTTTTTTTTCCATATAAGAGACCCCAAAGTGATTCAAAATGAGAACGCAGGACAAGTGTGACAAACTCTCAAAATACAGTAAAATTGTAAGAGCAAAGGAAAACTACAGATTGCCTGTCTGTCTCTCAGACATTGTCACCCAAGGCCTGATTCATTTTGTGCACAAAATTGTTCTAAACATGTCTGCACCAGGTGATACTTTCAATTTGTCTTCTCTATAAATAGCATTTACATATGACACAAAGTTGGAGAAATGCTTGCAGAGACTTTGTAATGTGAGTGCCCCATGTGAAAACAGTCCAAGATCTGTAGGCTTTTTCACATAAGCCACCAAATGTGCTTTATTTAAAGAAACAAAAACTCAGTGGTAGATCTTCAAGCAGGTTGCCTCTCTTCTTTCTGAGCTTAAGTGTAACATTTGAAAATAACTTGCATCGTTTAAAATGCACAAGCATGACTATGTGCACATTTAAACCCTGCACATTCCCCCCTCCCCTGTTTTTACATCTCACCAGAAGTGTGAAAACATAGCTAGCAGATGGCAAGAGTCTTTGGTTCATAGCTACTTGAGAAGTTAATGTGTTGCTATGCTTTATTAGCAATGTTAAGAACTTATTATACTGTATTTGTAATACTTTTGATGCCCGGTTCATATGTTGTTTGTCCAGAAGCACTGACCCACAGCATGCATATGTTGTTGGTTTCTCACTTCAGTTTTATGCAGATAGTTTCAGGTGTTAATGTTTGAACACGATTTGCGCAAGAGGCCTGAAAATGAGGGCTGGGTGGTTCTTGAGCTTGTTTTGGCCAAAAACCACCACCACCAACCAAACTGAATGTCTAGCCCAGGGCTGGCCTTCCCCCAAATCTTGGTTTAATCACTTGTATGGGATAACGGCGGCCTGTATCAGCTCATCAAGCATGTTCCAGTGGCAACCTGTATGGGGATAAATGTCTCACTTCCTTCAGCATTTAATGTGAGGCAAGGTTTAACTGTCCACCTCAGAACCAGTTTTCAGTACTAGACCTCCATGCCCTCTTCCCTTGAAACCTGGGCTATAATAATGTGTGTATTTGAGCTCATGTGGGGTGCTGTCCCACTGACAGAACCAAGGATCATAGATTAGGGACTAGAGACAAGGATGCGGCTTCCAGTCAGGACTTGGGCCTGGCACCACACACACACAGAGTTTTTCTTGACAGTAGGTTACTTTACTGGGCCAGCACATAATGTGCTAAGATCACCTGAGCCACTTGGGTTTGACAAAGAGCCCTTAAAAGGCGGGTGGGGGACTTTTGAATCTCCAGATGTCACTGGACCTGTCAGCCATGCTGGTTGGGGCTGATGGAAGCTGACGCTGCAATATCTGGAGGGCCCCATGTACCCCACCCCTGCCTTAAAAATGCCTTGCTTAAAGGCTCTCTGCCATCTTCATCAGTCATCATTTTTAGACACCTCAGTCCTCCAAGCAGGGTTTTAGGTCAGCCCTTTTGACCGGAAAGCTCAGTTCATCCCAAGCCTCACACGTGAGCACGAGCAAGAGCCTATTTCTCCACCTTGAGGGAGCTATAGAACTTACTTGACTTGTCCTCGCCTCGGTATTACTGCAATGCAAGGGGAAAGGGGGAAAAAAAGAAATATGGTGTTGTCAGAATCTGGGGCGACTGAAAGTGTTAGCTGGAGACAGTTACTAGGCAACCGCCGCACCATGGGACATAAGTAAGCCGAGAGCTCGTCGTTCTCTCTGCAGCTCACAGTATTTGTTCTCTGTGTGTGAGGCAAAGTGAATGTGCCATAGCAAATGCGTGGCTGCGTGTCGTGAATGGTATGCTGGTGAGGAAGTGGCTGTGTATTTTCAGAGAGTATGAGCATGGTCACATCTCTCCCCTCAGTGTCCTAGAAATAATTGCCAAGACAAAAGGCCCATCTGCCCATCTATTTGAAGGAGTATCAAACCACTTTATTAACAGCGGTGGCCTTCCCCAAAGAATCCTGGGATCTGTGGTTTGTTAATGGAGCTGAGGTTTTTTTAGGAGATTCCTATTCCCCTCACAGAGCTACAATTCCCAGAGCTGCTTGGGAAAGAGGGATTGATTATTAAGACACTATGAAAATGTTATTCTCTGTGAAGCGAATAGGTGTTATCTTAACAATTCATGGCACTCTTAAACTGCAGTTCCCAGGATCCTTTGGAGGAAGCCATGACTGTTTAAACCAGTATGATACTGCTTTAAAGTATAGTGCAGATGGGGCCAAAGATTTAAAAGGTGCTGTGCCATCATTCAGCTAGAAAGCTCAAAAAGGTTACCTTGGGCAGAACAAGTATCGTGGGAGCCTCTGGGCTATCATTATTTTGCAGGAGAGATTCAAGCACTCACCAGAACTTGAGGTTTGTCCAATTGAATTGGGTTAAAATGCTCTGCTGTCCAATTGCAACAAATCCACTTAAAAGCAAAAAGGACTTCTTGCAGTTTGGAAAGTGACAGAGAAACACATTGAAAAGTGCAGAATGGATGGGTGGTTGACAAGAAGATGTGTTAACATCCTGCAGGCAAATTGGGCTGGATGCTCAATAAAAGCCACACATAGACTAACCCCTGTGTAAGCTTTGTGCAAATCAGGATGAATTCTGAATGAATAGACCATCTGGAGAAGCCTTGTATTTTACAAAGCTGTTTCCAAGATAAAATGAGAGAACCCCACCTAAGTCAATGTGCAGGAAGAGCAAGAGATCATTTTACCAAAAAAAGAAAGAGAGAGAGAGAGAATGTAGGTGTGTTTGGCCCAAGAACAGCAACGAAAATCCAAAATCCGCATTAGGACAATACCTTTATTAGACCAGCCAAAATGATGTACTAGCTTGTGAGTTCTCCCTGGTATGTAAAAGGGCAGGGGAAGTTGGTGAAGTCCTGGAGCCTGCATCTGATGCATTTATCAGGTGCTATGCGACCTGAAACCTGGATAGCACCTAATAGAGGCTCATGTGAATGTGTGCTGCCTTATCTCACATTTCTGTGACCAGATGCAGACACCACAACTTTCATCAGCCAACTTCTTCCCTCCCCCCTCTGTTTACCATCTAGCCCATTGAAGAGTTATGGAGAACTCAAAGCACTGCACGTTATTTTCCATCATTAAAGGTAAAGGGACCCCTGACCATTAGGTCCAGTCATGGCCAACTCTGGGGTTGCGGCGCTCATCTCGCTTTATTGGTCGAGGGAGCTGGCGTACAGCTTCCGGGTCATGTGGCCAGCATGACTACACCACTTCTGGCAAACCAGAGCAGCGCACGGAAACGCCATTTATCCTCCCGCCAGAGCGGTACCTATTTATCTACTTGTGCTTCGACATGCTTTTGAACTGCTAGGTTGGCAGGAGCAGGGACCGAGCAACGGGAGCTCACCCCATCGCGGGGATTCGAACCGCAGACCTTCTGATCGGCAAGTCCTGGGCTCTGTGGTTTAACCCACAGCACCACCCACGTCCCTTTTTTCCATCATTACTGTTGGCTTAATAAAGGAATAGCTTGAATTGTGTTTTTTGAAGGGTAGGAGTGTTATTCTTCAAACTTATTTGACTTAGCAGTATTTATAAAAGAATGCACTTAATGTATGGAGTGCTTTGAGGAAAGGGGGAACTAAGGGCTCAGATCTAGGTGCCACATATCAATATTTTCATGAGCTCCATAAAACACATGACCTTTATGCTAATTCCCTCAAAAAATCTGATTTCCCTTCACAAACCCCCACACAATGAATATGGAAGGAGCGGGCAGTGCCTCTCTTGCGCCTGAGAATCCTAGAAACTTGTTTTAATTCTTCTTTTCTTTTGTGGACAGTTGTTGAGCCACTGCAGCTTTTCAGTGAAGGTCGAACTTTTAAAAATGGATGAAGGAAGAAGGAAGAAGTCATATGAATTATGTAGGTGGCTAGCTGACACTGTTTATAGGTGAAAGGAGGGAATCAATATGTGAGCCTGCTGGGACGATGGGGTTCCACAAGAGTTTGTGATGCAATAACATAATTCGAAGGGATTTGCGGCATTGACCAATCTGCTGCTATCAATCTGGAGTTTAACTAGTTCATGTTAACCTTGGCACCACTTGCTCTTCCCTTATCAACATCATTAAATTCATCTGCAACCAGCTTTTTTGCCCTTTTCCTGCTGAGGACTTCTATTTGAGCAGAATGATTCCTAGCAGAAGCAGCCCCTTATACAAGAGCCAGAATTATTTATTTATTTTGCCTTGGTAAGGATTATCATAGCATAAGTGAAGAGGTTTTGTTTTTTATAAGTAATCTTTTGCTTTTTTTTTTTTTAAATTGAGCTTCCACTTTTTCCTTTGGATTCCCAAAGCTGAAAATAAACCTTAGATAACATCCTTTAAATCCTTTCGAGTGGGGATCAAATTACGGATTATTAATTTTTTACTGACACGTGGACCTTCGTCATACATTTTGTGCTACTGGCATCCAGGACTTCGCAAGGATGATGCACCACCTGCCTTCCCTGTTCCAAAGGAAATTTAAAGTCATTCTCTGTTTTCTGCTCCTTTTGGCTCTCCTGGTACACATGGTGTTGGATCTGACGCTCTCTGCCAGCCTTGATTCTTGTGGATGTACCCGCAAAGGAGAAGATCAACCTAGTCCCGCGTTATCAGCCCAGAATAAGTTAAACCTGAGGATTCTCCAGGACTTCAGTGGTAGCAACAGCTCCCTGGAGAAAGGGGTTCACTCACCAGAAGGCGTACCGCATGCAGGTAGCAGGGGCAACATCCCCCTCCAAAGTCACAACTTCGAGCCGAAAGAAGCAGAAGCAAAACCAACATGGACAGGCAGGTCCAAACTGGCTGCGCTTTTCGACCATCCGCTCTACAAGATTCCAATCCCAAAAGTTATGAAGAAAGACAAGCTGTTTGCTACCAGACCGAAGATGAAGATGTTTGTGAGAAGTAGCAATGAATGGTGAGAGGCTCTTGGGGTTTTTTTCATAGGGACAGCTGGGTGGCCCATACAATTTGGTATACATCCTCTGCAGGGATGGTGTTCATGGAGTCAAACCCACTTCATCATAATCTGACAAAGTGGGCTTGAGTCCACCAAAGCATAAAGGTAAAGGTAAAGGGACCCCTGACCATTAGGTCCAGTCGTGGCCAACTCTGGGGTTGCGGTGCTCATCTCGCTTTATTGGCCGAGGGAGCTGCAGTACAGCTTCTGGGTCATGTGGCCAGCATGACAAAGCCGCTTCTGGCAAACCATAGCAGCGCACGGAAACACCGTTTACCATCCCGCTGGAGTGGTACCTATTTATCTACTTGCACTTTGATGTGCTTTCGAACTGCCAGGTTGGCAGGAGCAGGGACCGAGCAACAGGAGCTCACCCCGTCGCGGGGATTCGAACCGCCAACCTTCTGATTGGCAAGTCCTAGGCTCTGTGGTTTAACCCACAGCACCACCCACGTCCCTATCCACCAAAGCATATGCCATAATAAATATGTTAGTCTCTGAGATTCTCTGTTACTGCTTAATATAGGGAAACGTGTTGCTTTATATTGAGTTAGACCAGCAGGCCATCCTGTCTACCCTTGATGACTGTGGCTCTTCAGGGTCTTAGGCTGAGATATTGCCCTTAGATATGGAGAAAACGAATTCCACCATGGAGTCCCTGCCCCTGCCAGCACTTCGTTGCCATTTTCTGATCTCTCAGGGCAGCTGGGCTCAGAATGTTGGCCTGCCGTTTGATAAGCACCGCTAGATATACATGGGGGCTCAAGCTTCTTTGCAACATTTTCAGACAGGCCATGCTTTCCAGTTAAAGCATGCAAAGGCCTCCTTTCCATCCCCTCACCTCACAACAGCCAGACAGTACACTCAGTCCTCATTGGCCTGCTTTTCTCCCTCCTCCGCCCTGGGCTCTTTTTCCTAAAGGGTTTTTGTGTGTGTACATTTGCAGACCTCGTGATACCCCTGAATAAGCACGCTGTTCATTCTAGTACATTGGGGGGACAGGGACCTGATAATTCTCTTCTCGCATTCATTAATGGAGAATTGCAAAAGAAGATGCATAATAAATTTTTGGTCCAGCACGAGATCATTCCTTATTGCTTCTCAGTAGCCAGATTTCTGTTACCTTCTGGAGCTCACCAGCCTATGATAATATATGCAATTGTTTTTGTGTATTGTGTTGTGGGGGTATTGGATCTGCAGGGCTAGCAGCAATAAGGCACATGCGAAGCTTCCAAAACACGATGCCAACCCTGCTTGGCTCCAGTTCTACACTGGCATCAATCGCTATGAACTGTATGCCCGCCATGACCCTGCTCGCCTTGCCACGATGGAAGATTTGGCCATGCAGCCAATTGTCAGCTCAGGTATTCTGTGCCACATTCGGGTCCCTCGACCGCTCATACTTGCTTTCTTCTCACTTCACCCTGCCTGCTTGCCTTGTTCCTCCCCCCTCACTCTTTCAATCTCCACTTTGTTTCTCCCTCTCAGTTTGATACCCAGCCTGTTAAACCATCCTGACAAGAGTCTTGTGGGAAGGGGGAATGAACTGCTTTCTGGAATGTTCTGCCTCAGTGCTAAGCACCAGAGCGGACTCTGTTAATATTTAAATACCAGGTTTCGTCCTCATTCTCAAAACTGGGAAAGGTGGCGATTTGAGCCTTGTTCCTTCTTAATGTAATTTCAGTTCAAAAGCCTGGAGGGACACAACTGAAGCTGATCATGACCTTCCCCAACCATGGACAAGCCCTCTTCAAACCCATGAAGTGAGTAAGGAAAGCCAGCAATGCTTTTAGAGGCCCTGTACCAATATCCTGGGTCCAAGTTCTTTTTCATGTGTGGCAATAACCTGTCAATGGACTCCACCTGGAAAACAGATTGTGCTTGGAACCTTCCAAACTTTGAGTTAATTAGTTACCAGGCAGCTTCTGTGTAGCAAGAGGGTGAGGGTGACCCCCTTCATGCCAGTTCTCCAAACAGAGCTAAAAGCAAGGCTGTGTTTGGACATAACCCTCTGGAGCTACTGTAGTGAAGGCTCCTCCTTTGATTACCACATCCCTGGAGAACCGTCTCTGCCACCTCACACTCTTTATTTATTAAATTCCTATGCCACCCTTCATCTGAGGATCCCAGGGCGGTTTGCAAATACAATAATATAACCTCACTGCACACTACCAAGTATTGTGGGCTGAAACGGATGCTTTCCCTTCATCATTGCCCAGATTCCTCAGCAATGGCACAAGTTTAGACTCTGGACTTAATGGCCTTTGTAACACCACATTTCTAAGCAAACTGGGATTTCAATAGCCCTAACCTAGCAATGGAAACGTTGTAATACTGTCTCCTGAAAATATGGAATCTTGCAGCCTTAGGGGTGGATTAGGGGTGGAGTTCTTCCCTGGCCATTGGCACTCACCACCATCGGTTCGCTAATAGTCAAAGCAAACAGTTTTGATGGACCATAAAGCAGGTGTTTCTATAGAATTAATTATGGGATTTGTGGACCATCGTTCAACAACAGCCTAACAATGATGCAGCATAAGATAAACCTAGGCTGTTACTGTGGAAATGGCAGAGAGCCATCGATCACCTTGGATCAGTTTTAGCTCCCGCAGTAAATGGCGAACTCAGCCCTCCATGTTGTGGTTTGTTTCTGATGGAGAGGTGCGACCTCTGGTGGTAAAAGATGTGAAATGTTGTGCTATGTTGTTCTCAATGGACTCCTCTCCCCTTTCATTTAAGGCCACAACAATATTGTTTCAGCCTTGGCCAGTTGTGCAGTTAGGCTATTTTAGACTGGAGGACCTCGTAGTCTTCAGATGAGTAACGTGTATTGTTTCACTTGCTTCAAAACCAGGGCAACTATTGGGGGTGGGATGGGGGCTTCCTGTTTGTTATACTGAAATGGGCTCTAGACTTCTGTGTCAGAATTCTGCTTCAATCGCTCCTAGTTTGCAAAGCTAGGATTAAAATTTCAGGGCTTCTCCAGACAGGTGGGTTTTTTCCTTGTGGGTGTATCTTGCAATATTGACACAATAACAGTGCATTAACGATGGGTTTATATTTGGCTGACCACAGACCATTCCACATTATTAGTTGTTCCATGATGCTTCCACTACATTATTGCATTACTGCTGTCTGAAGGGACCCTCTTGCACTACTATAGTGCAACTTAAACAGGACACACACACACAAGCTGCTCTGGAACATTTATAGTATAAAAGGTTGCAGAATTTCAGCAGGACGTTAGAGGGCATGCACCAACTGGAAACAGAGTGGTATGTCCATACCTGAAACTATTGCAGGTGCAAACAGTATTGAAAACAGAATCATGTATGTAAATTTGAGCACAAACCATCATGAACACCCAATAAAAGGGATGTATGCATTGTGCATAGTGACTATGAGTTGCAAAAGATGTCTGGGCTTCAGTTCAACACTCGACAGTGAACATGATAACCCACCCCATCTCTTCTTGCCCCTTCCCCAGGCAAACCCGAGATCAGGAGACTCCAGCAGATTTCTTTTACTTCTCAGATTTTGAACGGCACAATGCAGAAATAGCAGCCTTTCACCTCGACAGGTGAGTCCAGCACAGTGCACTCTCCTGTCCTGCAGGGTGCGGCAGATTCCTGCCAAATATTATCAAGATCATTGATTTATCAATTCTAAACAACCATCTCAAGGCAATTTACACTGAAGATAGTGTCCAAGACAAGTATTAGTGCGAAGCAGAAAAGACAGGGCTATTTTCCAAACTGTTTGTATGTTCTATGATAACGAGCATTTGTGTAGGATTTGTTGTCTGTGTTTAGAGTGTTTATTTGGTCCAGCTGCAAACAGAATTTGTTTCATTTTCCCATTTTGCTCATTTCTGGGGAGGATCCTGGATTTCCGAAGAATTCCCCCCGTTTCTGGCCGTTTGGTGAATATAACCAAAGAAATCCGTGATATCACAACGGACAGGAAACTGTTTAAGACTTTCTTCATCTCCCCAGGTGAGCACTCTGTCCCCTGTTTATCCCTCCTTCATAAGATGAGCTCTAACGTGTAGAACAGGTGTGGAGAACCTGTTGCTCCCCAAAAGTTGGTGGGCAGCAGCTCCCATCATCCCTGGCCACTGGCCATGATGGCTGGCACAGATGAAGGGGAGGAGGTCAACAACCTCCAGAGCGCCACAGGTCCCTCAACTTTGGTGTAGAGCAACTGTGCTAGCCGTGTAAGCTATTCTCCCCTCCTGTTATGTTGCTTTGCACCCACAAGACATGTGGTGGCATGTTGATGAGCTGTTGGCATTCCCTCACTTTTGCTTTCCTCCATTTTGCGTGGGTCAACCCAGCCGGCAACGTCTGCTTCTTTGGCGAGTGCTCCTACTATTGCTCCACGGAACATGCTTTGTGTGGCAAACCTGACCAGCTCGAGGGCTCAATGGCGGCCCTCCTGCCGGACAAAGAACTGGCTGACCGGCGTTCATGGAGAAGCCCCTGGAGGCGTTCTTACTCCAAATTCAAGAAAGCTCAGTAAGTATGCTCAGGTGCAGAGGGAGGCCCATTATTGAATGAGAGATTGTGAAAAGCATGTTCTGGATGAAGAGAGCCAAAGGAGAAAACTGATGAGCCAGGACAGCCAAAGACTGAGGGAAGCAATGTATATATGTCCCTAAACCAGGGCTGCCCTAGACATTGATGAGTCTGCATGGAGTGCTGAATCTACATTCCCCCAACACTCCAATTTAGGTGAAACCCCATATCTGTTTGGCACTTCTTAGCTTGCCTTTTCTCCATCACTTCTAACTAGTTCTTATGTGCAGAATGTAGCTGTGCTCCATGGTGGTGAAGTAAACCAACCAGCAGACTGGTTCAGAGGCTCATTCAGGGCTGGTTGGCTCTGTCAATATACAGGAAGGGTAGCAGGAATTCCTGAAATGAATGTGCTCATGGGGTAATATGAAATGCTGGTATTTCTATGATTTTATGTTGCTGGAGCCACCCAGAGTGGCTGGAGCAACCCAGTCAGATGCGTACAAATTTGGGGTACAAATACAACAACAACAGATTTCTTATGCATTTATTTCATAAATACAATACTATTTTTTTATACTGCTTTATTGTAAATGTTTGAAAAAGTAGCAGTACAAGCAGGAAGAATTAAGTCCTAGCTAGGGGGTGAACACATGCTGATCTGTTTTCTGTTGGAGACCATCTCCTGAGTTATTTTTGTTTTAAGCTCCGGAGCCATTGCTGCTCCACAACTTTGACTCTAAAAGCCAGTGCCACAAAACTGCATTACATATTCAACTCAAGAGGTCCCGAGTCTGCTGTTTGTGGTCTCAAAGAGCTGCAGCTGTACATGAAAAGGCTCAAACAGAATTTATGTAATCGCACTTAGCATCTGTGCCCTGTCAGGGTGATGGATACGTTGACAAATGATGAGATGACCTGGGGGAGCTAGAGAGGCTATAAGGAAGGGTGGAGACTGTTAAATTAAAGGTTTCTCCCCACCATATGCATCTAATGATAACCTTTCATGACTATCTGTTCTAAGGTGGGAATCAGATGATGATTACTGCGCAGAGGTACGACAGACGGCACCATATGACAACATATCCCGACTCCTCAACCTCATCGATATGACTGTGCTTGACTTCCTTATGGGTGAGCTTGGGTACATTTCCTCCTGTGAGCTGCACTGCATTTGGGGACGGGACCATAGCTTAGGGGTAGAGCATCTGCTTTGCATGCAGAAGGTCCCAAGTTCAATCCTTGGCACTGGCAGTTTAAAAAAAGGATCACAGAAAGGTGCCTTATACAGAGTCCGACCATTGGTCGCAGCTCTCCAAGATTTCAGACAGGGCTCTCTCCCAGTACAGTGGTACCTCGGGTTACAGACACTTCAGGTTACAGGCGCTTCAGGTTACAGACTCCACTAATCCAGAAGTAGTACCTCGGGTTAAGAACTTTACCTCAGGATGAGAACAGAAATCGTGCTCTGGCGGTGGCGGCAATGGGAGGCCCCATTAGCTAAAGTGGTACCTCAGGTTAAGAACAGTTTCAGGTTAAGAACAGACCTCCGCAACAAATTAAGTTCTTAACCCGAGGTACCGCTGTACTACCATGACACAGCAGGATTCGAACCTGGGACCTTCTTTATGCCCTTAGAGCAGGCAATCCCGGGATAGATGGACAAAAAGTCTGAGCTGCTTCCTATGTCTCCCAGTTTCTGACTGCTACAACCCTTTCCTTTGTGTCATTCCAGTCCTTTAGCTCAGCCTTTAATAGAGAGACTTTGCCTCATTGCATTTTATTCTTAGGCGCGATGGAAACTCAGCGGCACTGAGAGTTCCTGAGAAACAAATTAACTCCGTCTGCGTACATCTGCCTGCCTGCCAGCTTCCCTGCAATAAGCATCTCTGGCTGTGCATTGTGTTAATATACGTGACTAGAACACAACCCGCTAAGAAGATTGAGCTGCGTTTCCCCTTGTTTCGTTCTCACCTGTCTTTTGACATCGCCTTATTCTCCGGCGTACCTCGTTTCATGGCACCATATCCTTGCACCTTCTCCCCCGCCCCCCCCTCCAATCCAATTTCGCACATTGGATGAAGCAGGTTATTTGCCAGCGAAAACATGTCACAGTGAGTCAGTGAAGGGCTTGGATCATGAAGTTAATGAAGGATAAGCTTTTGGTCTCCTCCTTCTCCCCGAAGCCACCTCCACCCTTCTCAAAAAGCCTCTCTTAGAGGGTCAGGGGTCCTCCTGAAGAGTGTGGGGATGGGGCAGGGGTCGGATGGGGCTGCTGAAGTCAGAGGTGCCCCCAGACACTGTCCTTGGCGACTGCAAAGGCCTGCTGACCCTCCCTTATTTAAAAAAAAAAAAAGATTGAAGGGGGTTGGTTGCCTGCTTTTTTCCTCTTGTCTTTTATTTATTAATTTTATTTACTTTCAAACCAATTTGTAACTTTTTTAAAAAATGAAAAGTGGTAAATAAATACTTGAACTAATTAATCACCACTACTGCCACCACCATCATTTAGTGTGTTGTTCATTGCCAGATTTTTCCCCCCCTGTGAAGTGGGTATTTTCTGGTGCACAAAATAGTTTCTTAGATTTCCCAGTGGAAAAAGAGGTTGGGAACTTCAGAATTAAAGAGTACATGGCCTCTGTTCTTGATCAGCTACATTCCTTATATTCTAAAGATCCCCCCCCCCTATATACACTGTGCTGCCCTGGGCTCCTTTTGGAGGAAAGTCAGGATATTTATTAAATAAATAGGCTCTTTATAATGTTCTCATCCCTACTCTTTCTCTTTCCTCAATTTGACAATACCAGCGGCAGTTCATCTTAAGTCTGTGCCACTCACAGCATTTTATTGGGGGGGGGGTTGCATCTGATTTGCCCACCATTTGGCTATGGTTTCACAGGTTACATAACCTGGATGGATTCCCCTCCTTTCATCCTTTTGTCATCGGTGCCAATAACTTAGGCTGATTTGTTATTTCTGTCCTTTGAGATCGCTTCTGCTCCACTTAATACTTCATAATTACTTCTGCCCTATCTAACAGCTTTCAGGTTGTACCCACTGACCAATTAATAGCTGGGCATTTCATTTATTCATTTATTTTATCTCTCTGCTGAGGATAGTTCAAGAGTTCGGGGGTGGGTGGGAGGGAATAGGCTTCCTCTAGGATCCTAAACATAGGTAAGGGACCCTGGGCTAAACAGTCATGCCTTACACCCAAAGAATCCTGGGAACTGTAGTTTGTTAAGGGTGCTAAGAGCTAGAACACTAGCCCTCTCACAGAACTACAATTCCCAGAGTTCCCTGGAAACCACTCTCTTTTTAATTAGCATCAGATGAAGCGTTTTGATGACCTCAGGCTCTTTGAGCCTTTCTAGTTTGCCTGAATAAAACACAGGGCTTTTTTTCAGCCATAACTTGCCGGAACTCAGTTCTGGCACCTCTCTGGTGGGTGCTGTTGCTAATCTAAGAGAATGAGGGAGGTTTCATGGTGAGTTCCGGTACCTCTTTTTCTAGACAAATAGCATGGAATAAGGATATTGTCTGATAATTGCTATTTGATATCGTCTGCAGTTTTTTCTTCTTCATTTGGTCTTGGAATTTATATCCCTGCCCCAAGATCCTCTCAGGGTGGACTTCTCTAATACCTTCTTCCTCTTCTTCCTCCTCTGATTTCTTCTGTCTGCCTCCTCTTCTATAATTCTTGCCTCCATATGTAGGAAACATGGATCGCCACCACTATGAGACCTTTGACAAGTTTGGGAATGACACTTTCTTCCTTCATCTGGACAATGGGCGAGGGTGAGAATGCAACATGCTTCCATGTGTGGGCGAGGGACTAGGGGAAGCTTTTGAGCTCTGTCCTACAATGATCTGCATTTTGAAGAAAGGGCTAGGGTATTCCTACTTCAGGCTGTTACTTGAGATGAGCTGCTTTTCTGGGAGTGAACTTTGAAAGCAGGAGCTTACAAGACAAGGATCTAAAGCAGGCAAGAACCAGAGTATAAGGTGGTCCTATGGCAGGTTCATGCTGAACTGCTCTTAGCGAACCATTATTTGACTATATCAGGCAGGGCCAGTCCTACTGTAAGGCAGAGTGAGGCAGCCGCCTCAGACAACAGGTACTGTACTCAGACAGCCTTGGGAAACTGGTGGGATGTTAGAGGGCTGAACTATGCCACATGGCCTGCACTGTACCTTCCAAGTTAACCTGTTGTCTTGAAAATATCGTTATTATGATGTTTGTATCCCGCCTTTCCTCCTCCCCATTTTATCAATCAACCCCAGGAGGTAGGCTTGGCTGAAACAATGACTGGCCCAAGATTACTCACTGGGCTCCATGGCCTAATGAAGATTTGAACCTGGGTATTCCAGATTCTAGGGACGTGGGTGGCGCTGTGGGTAAAACCTCAGTGCCTAGGACTTGCCGATCGCATGGTCGGTGGTTCGAATCCCCGCGGCAGGGTGCGCTCCTGTCGTTCGGTCCCAGCGCCTGCCAACCTAGCAGTTCGAAAGTTCCAGAACCTCTAAATCACCTACACCACCACTGGGCTGTCAGATGATGGGAAAAAGGATGCTACCCAGTGCCAGTGTTGATGCAAGATTTGATTGCAAGCCCAGCACAGCTTTTGTATATCGGAATTGGGGGAGCCGACGGTTATCTCCTGTTCTTGGTGAAGTGTCTGGACTTGACCTGTTTGGAAAGTGCTCGATGGCTGATGTCAATGACAGACCCACATATTCTGATGAAGAAATGCAACTCAGTTTTAAACATGGCAGCAATGTAATTCAAAAGCTCTTTCCAGCTGACCCAAAGATATTTGTCTTTTAGAAGACTTCTCAAAGTTCCCAGGAAGCCACAAGCTTTAAATGTGCTTTAAATGTATGCTGCGGACGTACAAACTTGACACACTTTGGAGAAGATGGCCTTGTAGTTTGTGATACTTTCAGAATTGGGTTGTTGTTTTTTAGGAACAAAAATCTCTATACCTTAACAGAAAGAAAGGAAAATCCTTAAAATTGTATAGATATTTACTGATATCAATTCAATATGTGGGAGGGGGGACATTAAGTGGTCTGGCTGCCCTCCAACTTTCCCATTCCATACCATTGTCCCGTCCTGATATAATTATAGGATAACCTGAATATAGCAAATGACAGCTAGAGAGTACAAAACTGTTTCTACACAGGGATGGAAAAGTTGTAGTTCTCCATCTATTGTTGGACTCTAGCTCCCATCAGCCCCAGCCAGTGTAGCCAGGTGGTCAAGGATGATGCCTCTTAATAGTCCAGCAACATCTGGCGGGTCACATTCCTGCTCTACACCATTCTAATATCTACCAAGATATATTAATTCTGCAGGGAAAGTAAACTTTGCAACAGGATCATGAATACAGCACTGCACAAGCACACATAATCTACATCATTTGCAACATCATTTGCAACATTTGGACTTTTAAATATCAAAAGAAGTATTTATTGAGCAAGATAAACACTCCCAAAATAGCATTTCCCAAAAATAGAGTAACCATCTGTGCCTTTTGTTCTTCTCAGGTTTGGGAGACACTCCCATGATGAAATGTCCATTCTGGTTCCACTTCAGCAATGTTGCATGTAAGGATTCTTTTCTCACATCTTGTTTATACTCTGTCTTTGGAGGGGGTATAATTAAGGAAGTCTTATTATTTTGAGGTGGGTAATCTTTTTGGTTCTGTAGGCCAAATTGCTCTCAGTTTTTAGGTTAAGGATTTTCCCCCTGGTCAGATTGTAGTGGCATGGAAGGGTGTGCGTGTGCCATTTGCCTCCTCTACATAAGCCCATGCACCTTGTCCACCACTGTGCTCTGCTAGTGGCATATTGTGTAGGCCAGGGGTAGCCTTCCATATGTTTTGGACTACAGCTCCAATAATCCCTGACCATTGGGCATTAATCAAAAGCATCTGAAGGGCACCACATTGGCTACTCCTGGTTAGTCATGAGGGGCTGGCCATTGGACTTGATGACCTCTCTCCCAAGCCTACAGTTCTATGAACTGGCTCTCATCTCAGCTATCTGAAGCTTGCATGCCTAAGCTAGTTCCCAGCAGATACACCAGAGCTCAGCGCAATTGAGGATGCAGGCTCATTTCTGCCAGAAACCAACTGAAATGCCCACACTCTTGAGTTAGAGAAAGCCTACTCAGCTACTTCCACCACCTCCCGAAGCTAAAGGGAGATGCAAGTGCTTTTGGTTAAAACAAGGAGCCTTTTATGTAGGGCAACAACTGAGCAAAAATTTCATCAGATATGAAAACAGACTCAGCATTTCCTCCCCCCTGAAACACATGCCATGATAGTCTTGCTTTCAGGTTTGGGATAAATAGGGAGGAAATTATTTGGCAAGAATCCATAATGTTTGTGGTTAGTCTGACCCTATAACTTCTTGCCCACTCTCACCGCTGCTTCTGATGTGGTTCTGATATCCCAAGTCTGTGCATGTACTAATGGAAATGCTCAATGTGACGTTTCTCATGGTTTAAAAACGTTGTCCTTTCTCTTCCTTGATTTTTTCCTGTTGCTATTGATGGATCCAGTATAAAAAAGTCAACGTTCTTGCGCCTCCAACTGCTTGCTACGGAGCCTTATCGCTTGAGTGACATCATGCGTGAGTCCTTGGCCACTGATCAGCTGTCACCAGTCTTAGCGGAGCCTCACTTGAAGGCACTGGACCGGCGGCTCCAGAAGATATTAGACATGGTGGAGGACTGCATGAAGAAGAGTGGAGAAAGCCAGGAAGTCCTGATAAATGACTTAAAAGGACAGCAGTATACATCCTCAGAGCTGCGAGACAAGAGAAGTAGCGCTGCCTGAAGGGGATGGATCCCCGGCCTGTTCAAACACACCTCTTTAATGCTACCTCTTACATTCAAGCCTTGCCGTAGGGAAGTCACTAGTCATTCTGTGCTACAGTGTGGACATAAAGGGGTTAGGGAGCAACCAAGGGAGAAGGGAACGTGGAATATCTTAAAAGAACAAGAGGGAGGGCCTGGAAGCAAAACTTGGACAAAGTATAAAAGGAGCATTCAAGCTCTTTAATTGTCCTGAGACTTGCAGTGAAGCCTTGGAAGCCTGATGGGCAAGCTGTGGTTTGAATGGAAGGATAGTTAAAGCAGGGGTAGCCCACATGGTGCCTTCCAAATGTTGGTGGACTACAACTCCCATCATCCCCTGACCACTGGCTGGAAGTGATGGGAGCTGGAGTCCAACAACAGCTGAAGGGCATCATGCTGGCAACCCATTCAAGTTATTAATGCTCAGCGGAGCTTCATTTCTGTTCCTTTGTAGAATTCCTTTGTAGCTGTAGGAAAGGAATGTGCCTTCTCTCCCTCCTTCCCACTTCTCAGAGCAATCTATACAGCCAAGAATCTCTCTCATATTTATTCTCTTACTATTTATTTTGATCCATTTGCAGTGCTTTGGGCTTCTGTATGGAAGCGTGAACTCTGCCCAACCTGCCATTGTTAACTATGTTAGCTTGCCTGGGGATGAAAAAGAAGTGAGACTATGTGCGCTCGTCTTGATCTTGCCAGGTGTTGCTAACATGCTTTTCAACCCACTTCAGTCTCCGATTGAAGGTGCCAATAAATCACAGGCTGAAGAGACTTCAGGCCCCGTTGTCCTAAGATACTGATGCTGTGAGCAAGTTCATTGCTGCTTTTATCCACAAGGCTTCCTGATCTCTACTTGTGATCAAAGAAGAGAGGGCAACAGTACTATGGGCTATGCAAAACTCCAAGAGTGCCTAGAAGCAGCAGTAACAAAAGCAGCCTCCTCTCTCATAAAATAGACCAAGGTCCATCTCATTATTATCACCATCATCATAAACTATCATCACCACCGTGGTTTTTTCCCTTGGAAAAGCAGCATATAAATCACACAGTCAGCCCTATTGGTTTATGTGTATGCTGCCTTTCCCAGGGCAAACCATGCCCAAAGTGGTTCACAGTGATGTCAGAATACAACACAATAATAAGAAAATGCATGAAACACAACAAAAACAACTACTGCAGGAAGCTGCCAGATACCAAACTGCTTGTCTATCAAGACCAGTAATGTCTGCTCCAACTAGAAGCAGCTGTCCAGGGTCTAAGCCAAAGAAAGTTATTTTCTGTCATCTCCTGTGACCTGATCTTTTTAACAGGAGATGTCAGAGGACTGAACCTGGGAACATCTGCATGCAAAACCATGGGCTGCAACCTGTCCTGCTTGCATAATGGGACTTCCTCTCCCAGGCTTCTCACTGTGTGCCCCCCCACCGTGCCCCCAATTCTAGTTCTGGGGTTTCCCTAACCACTCACAGAGCAGATCTGGGGCTTCTACTGAAGGCCTATGAACCCTCCCCAACGCAATTGCAGTCAGCTGATCAGCATTTCTAGTTTTCCCCCCAACCAGTGGGCCAGCTAGGTGGAACATAAATGTACTCTGTAGGATCATCATGTGTAATAGCGCCGACTCCATGGGTGAGGGGGCGAGCCCCTCAAAATTTGTTTGGGGCTCCGCCCCCAATAACTCCGGCGCCCTCCAGCAGAGCGCCGAGATTATTGAGGCTTGTAAACCCTTCATGAGCCGAAACCCTTGAAACATCAGATCTAAAGAACCATGCTGACAATGGCTTCAGGTGAGAGCAGCAATCGAGTCAGGAAGCACAGCCCGTGTTGGAGATCCGCAGGAGAGCGCAGAACCGAGAGCAGAAGCGGGAAGAACGCGCTACAAATGTAGCAAAGCGGATACAATTTTCCTCCTGTTCTTGTTTCTTGCCAGACAAAACAGGGGCGATCAGTGCTCCCTCTCCCTCCCTACCTCCCTAGCAGGTCCTTGGAGCTGATTAATAGGCGCAGACGGAGAGGAGGCGGCGCCACTGCATCTGAGCTTATTTATATTCATGAGCTTTCCCGGCCCCCAATATTTTTTATAAGTCGCGTCCTGCATTGTAAAACGCATGTGGCACTTCCCTGTGAGTTATAGAACACAGTCCACAGGCAGGGCAAGCTCCCAGCCTATGTGCATCAGGAAAGCCTATCGAATCAGGAATGGTAGGTGAAGGGACACGAGGGTCCTAGTCCCCGTGAAATGCAGGAATCTTTTTGCCCAACTTGGGGCTCAAACCCAAGATCTGAGATTAAAAGTCCTCATGCCTTGTACATGACTGAGCTTATATGATTTAAGGCCTATGTTGTTACTATGTGATGATCTGACATGTGACTGCCCATTAATTAATGGACGGGCCTTCTGTGTAGAAATTTGTAATGTATAAAGCAGTTCCGAATGTGAAAAGTATAAGGATCTATGCAGATCTGGGCCAGGTCAGTGCCTGTGTAGAGGCCACTTGCGAACCCCTTGCACACTGCTTTTAATTCTAGGAAAGAAAGTCATAATGCACATGTAACAAAGCATTAAATGAATAACAAATTATTTCAGTAAGGTTTGCAGGTCCTTAGAGAAGCCAAGAGCCAAGGCCATATTGCCTGCTGCATATGTCAGAGTGCTGGTGTTATGGTTATTAAACTCTGATCCCGTCCAATTTATCTGCTGTTTCTCTCATTATTTTCTCAAAATAAAGATTGAAGCGCCCTAATGAGAGAAAGCACCCTTGGCAACAACCTCAGGAACAATGAGCCCGTCTGCTGTTGCTTATTCAAACTGTACTGTTGCTTTCTCTGAAAATATTGCATTGTGCCTACTAATTGGCCCTCAGTGTTCATAAGGGCCTTCCTTTTCAACAGTTTCTTGTAACAAGAGGTTTTTCGGTTCCCATGAAGTTGAATAAATGTGACAAAAATACACGCAATATTCGACATGGGTTGCATTAAACTAGCTAAATTATCTCGGCTCCAAGCCTCCATCTTAAACCCAAAGGTTAAGCTCAGCACAAGACCAGGCTGCTGGTTTCAGAGACCCACCACAGTGGAGGGGTTACTGACGACAGTGTCTGGCAAGCCACCTGCTATTTTAATTTCCCACAATGCCCTTGAGTGTTGGGTGCCCCAGTGCACTGTGGGAAAATTTAAATGGTGGGTGACTTCCCAGACCCACCCACTGTCACTAGCAGGGGGAAAGGGTAGGCTGGAGGGGGGAAACAGGTGTCAGTGGTGGTGGGACCAAGGCAGGAATCAATGCCAATGCAGGCATCAGGGCTTTTAGAAGCTACCTGAGAGTATTTGACTGACACCAGGCCTGCTTCAGCAGATCCATTTGGTCTACCTTGTTTTCAATCAGTTGTGTGTTTGTGTAAGTTCTATATCCGTGATCATTCTTCTGCAGCCATGTTCTACTAGATAAATTGATTGCCACCCCTTATATTCCATATGTGACTCGGGTCTTTTCCAGTTCGCAGTGCGACCAAAGCCTGAGTGGCTCAGAACCACACAAGTCTTATTTAGTAGATTGGGAAATCTCTCGTATAAATGAAGAATGATGGAGAAGAGCTGTAGTTTGGAGGTCAACTTTCTGGAATTAATCCTGCTTATGTGGCAGTAGAGAGGGTTCGCTTTGTTATGAGAGAACTAAATGTCCCTGAAGATTAGTACGTCATCATGAACTTTTATTTAGCCTTGACAGTTCAAGCTAGTGGGCAGTGTCTTAAATCACAGAGTCTCTCTCTCTCTCTCTCTCTCTCTCTCTCTCTCTCTCTCTCTCTCTCTTTCTCTTTCTCTTTCTCTCTGTGTGCAGGGTGTGTTATGTCTGAGGTTGCAATCCTGTGCAGACTTTCCTGGACGTAAGCCTCACTAAGTACTATGGAACTTCTGATTAAAAACTGCATTGAGTGGAGCTGTATTTGTTTTTTTCTTTTCTTTTTCCTGAACGAACCTTTTCTTTTACTTTGTGTTATAGTAAAGCAGGGAAGGTAAACCTTTCAGCTTTAAGGACTGCATGCCTGAGTGCCCCCCCCCGGGGGGGGGCTCCTTCTGACTGATGTTTTATTGTGAGTGTATTCTGAAACGTATTCTTGACACAATAATAGTGCCTTAATGGTGGATTTATTTTGCTTTAGTTTGTTCTGCAATGCTATCTCAGTGCTACCACATCATTGCTGTCCATAGTAGCTACCACACAACAAAAGCAGGACAAAAATAAAGTGAAACATTTGTGGCATAAAAAATTACAGGTTTCCAGCAGGAAGTTACAGGATATGCACTGACTGGAATTTTCACAGTTTCACAATCCCATAACTTTTGCAGGTGCAAACTGTATGGAAAGTGGGATTCTGTGTGACTGCTCCAATAGCATAATGAGCACAAATCATTATGAATGTGCGATAAAAATGATATTTGTAGACCCTCTCCTCTCTCTCTCTCTCTCTCTCTCTCTCTCTCTCTCTCACACACACACACACACACAGTCTCTTTCTCTCACAGACACAGTCTCCCCTATGCTCAGCATCACAAACAGCCTTCTCTTCACTCTCATATATAGACAAACAGCCCTTCTCCCTTACTTTACCTTCCCTTACACTCTCACACACTTATAAAGCTCTGACCCAAGTCCACATGACAATTAGAATTTTACACCACCTCTCCTAGCCCTGGGTTAGATGGGAAATTGTTCTGATGCAGTGTAAAGATGTATTTTCACGTTCTGTTGAATTCCAGGATGAATTGCAGAATGGTCCTGACTGAGTGGGAACAATACAGCACAGGGCAGTTCCACAACAATGTGCTCTTAGCTTTCCCTGTAAATATCATGCCTAGCTCTGACCATGTCGCAGATGGATGTTTGCAGAGAGAAGTGCAGTCTAACTTGTGGGGAAATGTCAGGAAATGTGTGCATTTCAACAAATTGTGAGATTTACCTCTTGGTTTTGGGGCACTTCCATATTGGGATCTTCTACTGTAAACAGATCATAAGGATTGGATTTCTCTTTGCACATGTTTTGCACGTTAGCTTCTACCCATTCCCATTTTTTTAAGTCATGGATATTGATTGCTATGCCACCCAGAAAGTTGTCTGTGGACAGATGCCGGCTGTCTCAGCCTGAAAAGCAAAATGAGCACCGCACCTCATAGTCACCTTTGACTGGACTTAAACATCCAGGGGTCCTTTACCTTACCTTTACCTGCTATGCCACTACTTGTCTTCTACACAGTGGGCAGATCTTGACACAATGTATGTGGTGGGCTGCTTTTCTGTCCCTCCCTCAAATATTCTTCCTCTGCCTTCTGTTTTGGACATGTGCACAGATATTCTGTTCCTGTACATGCACACCTTAATATATACTGGTATATTCACAATGGCCCAAATGGAAGCTTATTTTGTGTGTGTGTGTGCAGGAAATGTACATTTCCATTTAGTTCTTTTATTTTTATGTTTATTCTGCCCCTGTCTTCCCTCCCCCACTCCTGCAACAGAGGACTCCCTTGTGTTAATTAGCCAGGGATTATAGGACTTTGGACTAAGGATCATTAAGCTTTTGGCATGGGGAGAATTAAAGGGGAAAAGGGCAGAGAGGACACATTTCCAACACCATTCTGATACCATTTGTAGAAAACAGAGAGGACATGCCCATCACATGCCTAGGGTGATTTCCCTCAATCTTTTACCATTTCATTCCACCAAATAATACGTTTAAAAATTAAATTACATACAGTTTAAATGGAAATCCTATTTATCCACCTGCATCATATTAGTATGCCTGGATGGCTCAGTTGGTTAGAATGTGGTGCTGATAATGCCAAGGTGGCAGGTTTGATCCCTGTATGGGAAAGCTGCATATTCCTGCTTTGCAGAGAATTGGATTATCCTCAGGTTCCCTTCCAACTCTACAATTCTATATTATTCAAGGCTCAGCACAATAAATTCTCTCTTAGTTCCACTAGAGGGAGTTAGATTCTAATCTCTAGCATCATTTCATGCCAAGAGTGTAGCTGGAGTGGGGAGAACAAAGTACTGCTTAAAACTGTTGTGGGTTTGGGCTGTTATTCTTAGATTGTGTTAACTTCAGGCCTGTGCTTAGGTGTCCTCTCTCCTCCTTGTAGCAATGGAATAGATTGTCACACACTGCCAGATTAAAAGAACTAAATAAATCTGCCTTGCTCGTTGAGGATTAATGGCTATAATTTTGGATTCTAAACAGGAAGGAAAGGTGACCGAGGCTGCACTTATCCAGGTACACCCAGTAGAAGGAATAGACAGGAGAGAGCGCTAGTAATGAGTGCACTAGTGTAGTAATCCAGTTGATTATGTTTGTTCCAGGATTTTACTTGTAGTGGGAAGTACCCAGCACACAAATGGGTCCTCCTATTTGCTCTGCAACCTGTTTGTTTCTCAGCACTGAATGCAGAACAGGTCCTTACAGCAGTTCCTTCACACATGAAGGGCATACTAAGCAACTTACATTTCCTGTCTCTGCCCTTTCATCTCATCCTGCTCTAACGGAAGAGAGAATTGAGGTTGCTATAACAAATACGTATTTCCATCTGGCTGTAGCTGAGGAAGAGGTGAGGCCGCAAAACCCATCCATTGGGTCAGATCACCTACCATTTTGTGCCTCTCCTAATGAAACTGTTCTTAGCAGACATTCTACTTGGTCATTGTGCTACTGGGAAGATTTTTTTGGTGCTCAAGTTTCCTTGTTTTCATTTTCTTTCTCTCCCCTCCCCCTTTCCTCTTGTGCCATGTGTTTTTGGTTGTAAGCCCAAAAGCAGCTTCTGTATCATTTTTTAAATCTTTGTACAGCACCTGCAACATTTTAATAGTTTGGGGGAAATCCTAGTTACTGAACATAATGTCTTTCCTGCCCACCTCTCTCCTTTGGCAGCACACGGTTTTAACTATGGAAAGGTGAAATAGAAATAAAATTATGTATGCATGCATGTATGTATGTATGAAATAGTCCTATCAGACTATATCCTGGGTGCCTCCGGACTGTCACTATTTTCCAGGAGGGATTCGAGCACATACCAGAAATGTAAGTTTGTAGTTTGTAGTTTGTAGTTAAAGTGGATTAAAGTGCTTTGTCGTCCCACAAGCAAATCAAGATGAATGCTCATTGCTGTATAACTGCCCCGCAAACAAATTGGAACAAATGCTCAGTAAGGACTGGGCATAGTCTCTACTCTGTGTAAGCTTTGTGCAAGCAAATCAGGCCAATTGTTTACTAAAGAGGTCCTCTGGAGGAGCCCTCTAATGATACACAAGGAATCTGTATATACATGCTGCTGCAGCTGCTTTTCTAAGGAAAGAAGTCATGCAAACAGGAGTCAGAAAAGGGGTGTAATTGGTATATTTATTTATGATACCCCAGGGTGCCCATCCCTTTCACTAACTGAGACGAAACAGGAATATACTGCCTCCTGCCTATCCTACTGTGCCACATCTCTAGCCACCTGGCCCAGCCCACCACTGAAATTCAGTGCTCCCGAAGCGGTGGGGTGAGTGGGATGCTGCCTCTTGCGCTTCTGCCACCTGAGGCCTCCACATGATGGGTGGGCCAGCTCTGATGATACCACAATAGCCTGCAGAACCCAGATAACATTCCTGGTTTCTCCCTCCGTTTTTCCTAGAAGTCATCAACGTTTGGTACCTGGGTATTTCTATAAGATGGGCTGCCACAGGGAATCCATGCCTAATCTCTGAACAAATTATACATTATTGGTTGCAAGCTGATTATTGATTATACTTTTTATTTTCTTCCCCTGCTCTTTTGGCCACACAAAAGTGTGCTTCAGGATAACAGGAATCGCTGATGGACTTACAAACATCATAAATTAAATAAAACAAGTCCATTCATTTAGTTGTGCTTAAGTGAAAACAGTGTTCCATGCACTTTTGGCATTTAAGGCTTGAATCATAGAATCATAGAATCATAGATTTGGAATAGACCACAAGGGCCATCGAGTCCAACCCCCTGCCAAGCAGGAAACACCATCTGAGTTCTCACAGTGGCCAACCACAGGGGCCTGGAGGAAACTCACATGCGGGACTTGAGCACAAGACCACTCTCCCCTCTGGTGGCTTCTAGCAACTGCTATCAAAAGTTTACTGCCTCCATTGTGGCAGTAGCCACTGTTAGTCTGTTCCTCCACTAATTTGTCTAATTTGTCTATCTAGGTTGGTGGCCATCACTGGTGGCTATCCACTGCAGGAGGAAGTCCTTTCTTTTAATCTGTCCTGAAGCTTGAGGCACCAAAGGTGAACAAAAATCTCTTCTCCCCTGAAATAATTTATGGGTTTTTTTACTGCCTTTTTGAAACAAATGTTGCTCTTATTACGTAATTGCTTTTTTATAAAAGTCATAAGGTCATATGGTTATAATAGTTAGGGGATTTTTATCTGGGGGCTTTCTAATATAGCTTGTGGAACAAATTGTGGTTAAAGATGCTAGCAGAAAGAACAGGTGTTATATGCTTTTGCAGAAATTGCGGTTAAGAAGATCACCAAGAAAACAAGGTATTAACATGCTTCAGTGAAATAAAGGAACATGGCCTTATTGCTAAAAACAGTATACAGTATAAGGGGCTTTGGGAAACGGGAAAGGGAATGGGGGTTGGATTTGACATGGCAAAAGAATAGGCGGACATGATAGGTGTAAACTTTGCACGCCCCTTTCTAGTGGGCGGCGAAGGAGGGACTTGCGCTCAGAAAAAAGGTTTATATATATTTATATTTATATTTTCATGTTTTGGTGTGTGCCTGCTTTTTCAGGTCACCGATCTTGCAAGTGTGTACTTTTAATAAAATATTGCTGCTTCATCAACTTTGCCCAGACTTTATTTCAGAAGGGGTCCTAGGATTTAAGTCCTGGGGGACCAGTATTTATATCTTACATCCCCCTCCACTTTCAACATGATTTATTGACAGGATGCTGCATGAGCTCCACATTAGAACAATACTTTCATTAGGGCCAACATGCTTTTCTAAAAAATAAAAAAGCGTCCGGTTTCGAGTTTCGTCAGAACTATTTTTACTATTTGTAAAAGAGGAAGAGCATCTCAGCTGTTTCATTTTATTGTTTTAATGCCCGTCCAGAGAAGTCTACTACCGAACAGCATTGCAATAAAAAAATAAATACGCTTTCACTTTTCCTGCTGGACTTTTTTTGCGGCGCTCCCCACAATCGCTTCGAGGAATTTTTTTAAATACTGTATTACTATTACAGTGTTTTATTGTAATTTCTGCCCGCTAGAGGCGCTTTCCCCGCGGCGGCCTTCCTTATACGTCTCAGCCTCCAAGGGGCGGGGCGGAGGAGAGGGGCGGAGCCACGGCCTGTCGCAGCTTAACCCGCCGCCGGGGCCGACCTCCTCTTACGCAACCGGGCAGCTGAAGCCAGTAAAGGGAGCTGGCGAGGAGGCGGGCCCGACGCCTGCTTTTTGTTCAAACCCTCCAATGGGCGCAGGCCGTCGGGAGAGATTGACGGCGCAGGTCAGGTGCGGCTCTTGCCAATAAGCTCCCGCTGCTGGGATTTGACAGACGCACGCACACAAAACCCGGGCCATATTGTCGCCGCGCGGCTTCTCTTTAGCGCTCGGAGCAGGCGGGACCGGAGGCGGCGGCAGCTCCTGAGGATTAACTTAATTAATTGCCAAAAGGATCCAGCAAGCTGACCTCGCGCACATCCCCGCGAGGCAAAAGGGCTCTTGAGGGTTTTTATTTCCCATCCTTATTGTTGTCGGCATCTCGGGCGCTTTGCGGGATAAGTTTGTGCGCTTCAGGAGGAATCCCGGCTTGGAGAGGCAGAGGACAAGAGGAGACCGGAGAAGAAAAAAAGGTGGCGCCCTTTTGTTTCGTCTTGTTTTTTTTCCTCTGCCCCAGAGTCAAGCTCCCCTTGTGGTGCTGCCCCAAGTCCTCCCCGCCCCATTCCCCAGAAGTCACCCCAGGCGAGCCCCCCTCGCGCTTAGCCTTGATTTCTTTCCCTGGCCCGGAACAAAGCGCCACTTCCTTCTCCTTTTCTGCCGCTTCTTTTAACGTCCCCCCGTTTAAACAACAATATGAAAAGACGCTCCGAATTGTTCCGCCGTTTATCTCTCGGCTTATTCCCCCCCCCTCCCCGCCATCCTTGCAAGGAGCAGCGACGACCCGCCTCGCGCATGCTGCTTTTGTTGTTGTCCTCGCGAGGCACTGGCAGCTGCGGCAGATCGGAGCGACTTTTCCTTGGCAGGGAGACGCGTTGAGGAGGGGAGCGGCCCCATCCCTGGCATGTTTTGCTCGGGTGTAACGCTCCTCGAGTTCGCCGGGACTTTCTCTTGGAAGTCAGGGGCTGCCGCCGCCGGAGGAGGGTGTTGCAGGGAGCAGCGCGAAGCGGGTAGGGAAATAGGGAGCAGGGTGGGACTTCCTGAGGACGCCCTCCCTCCGCCCTCCCCGCGTGGCCGCCGCCTGCGGGTAACGCAGGACGCTTCATTCGACTGGCCCGCTTTTATTCCCCCCTCAGATCTGCTCCCGGGTCCCGCTCGCTCTTTCTTTTACTGTTTGTAATTGGCTTGAGTGGTCCCTTCAGAAACCGTTAGCCCTGCGACCGGTAACTCGCAACGGCAGCCCTTGCCAACCTGGTGCCCGCCCTCCATAAAGTTCAGGACTACAACTCCTATCGCCCCTGACTATTGGCCGTGCTGGCAGGGGCTGAAGGGAGGTGTAATAATAATAATAATAATAATAATAATAATAATAATAATAATAATAATAATAATAATTTTATTATACCCCACCCATCTGAGTTTCCCCAGCCACTCTGGGTGGCTCCCAACAGAATATTGATATTATTAATAATAAAGTGATCAAACATTTAAAACGTCCCTAAACAGAGCTGCCTTTAGATGTCTTCTAAAAGTCGATAGTTGTTTATTTTTTTGACATCTGATGGGATGTCTGAGGGCACTCAGTCGACAAGCAAAAGAGTTGTTGCTAGTGATGAATTTTAAAGGGGGTGGGGAGGTTCATACCCACTTGAAAGCCTGACTTCAGTGGTGGCTCATTATTAGGGAGGGGGGAAACAGGACTATTTTGAATAGTGTTTTTATTTATTATATTTGCTACGCCACCCCTTCCCCATACAGAACTTGTGAGGGTAAAATGGCACCCTGAGTTCTGTTGTGGTAGGTTGGACTGGAAGAGTGAAGTGACTGGCCCAAGGCCACCCAGGTAACTTCATGACAGGATTTGAACACAATCCCGGCCACTACCACTAGTCCTTGTCCAACCATGATGGGGAAGCGGATGACAATGGACAATTTGGACTTCAGTTCCTGTCAAGACAGCCAGTGTGGTGTTGTGGTTACAGTGTCAAACTAGGCTGAGCAGTAGATTAGGCTGAGAGGCAGTGAGCTTCATGGCCTAGTGGGGATTTGAACCCTGGTCTCCCAGGTCCTTGTCTGACACACTAACCGCTGTACTGTACTGACAGCCTTTGCTGTTATACTTTGTTCAGTGGCTTCTGCACATGTTCCAAGGTTAGAGAGTCAGCCTTTACATTGGGAGCAAGTTTCAGGACTTGTTCTTTCTTTTTGCCTTTGCAAAAACCTGAACTGGGCCCTGAAAGGACTCCCTTTTCCCCAGATGTCTCAGTCATTCTCCTTATTGGGGTGGAAGTTTGGGGGTGAAACTTGGTAAGAAAGGAAGGAGCAAGGCAGTTTGGCACATGCATAGGAAGTAACTTGACAGAGGTCCCTTATAATCTGCTGCTTTCCCCCTTCCTGTTCTGAAAGGAGGCCAAAACTGATCCCTGGAGTTAGCATACATGCTTTCTATTGTATCCCCCCAGGGATAAGTGCTGTTTCCTAATAGCACTGAACAGATGCCTTTGTACTTTTCTTTTGCTCTTTGGGAGTTGATGTAAATGCCTCTTTACTTTGCGCCCACATGGAGTGGGGAGGAGTCTCTTGTGGGCTGCTGTAAAATGATGGAAAGGGGTGTGTGGAGCATAATAAGCCCTGTTTGCAGTATAGTTCTAGGCAAGTACAGGAACAGCTTGAGCATCCTGCTTCTGTGGAGGGAAGGGATTTATTTTTAAATTTTTTTACAAGGATCCAGGGAAAGGGATGTTCTGCAGGCAAGCATGTGAACTGTCAGGGCGCCGTTTTGCCAATGTAGCCCTGAAGAGAATTGGCCGCATCTCCCAGAATAGCTGTGGTGCAGGATTACAAACGCAGGCTGGCATAACATGATCGAGATTTGACTGGTTTTGTTATTGAAGTTTCATAAGTGGTTGCCTATGAACAGCCTGGTGACTGCTTGCTTGTTGCTGTGATTGTAGAGAGCCAGGGAGGCAGACTTTATAACCGTATAAGGGGTGGATATTTGAGCAGAGTCAGGCTAGGTTTCTGCTGTTCGGACTGTTTTGCATCTTGGCAGGCAAATCTGCAGGGCGGCTGCCTGGTGGTGTATAAATACAGCCGCTGCCAGAGGGTCACCTAAATGAGCCTGACTTAAGTCTGAGATGGCTCTCTCCTTGGCTGGCCTGGGACATGTGTTCTTTTCTTGGCCAAGAGCTCTGCAGCTCCCTGCCAAGTTTTGGCTCCTGGTGCTCTGAAAAGGAGCATGTGATTCATATGTCTGCTGGTTAGAAAGTTGAGCTCACGTGCTCAGGCCAGCCAGACGGAGGCTTTAGTGAAGGGGCCTGTAAGGTAGCAGGAACTTCTAAATCTCAGGTCGCAGTTCTTCCTGCTGGACAAGTAGCAATGCCCCTAATCCTCCTGTTTCAAGTAGAATTAGTAGATCTGCATCAGTTACCCTTTTACGAGTGTTTTCAGATGAGCTGTTTGTGGAGCATTCATTCTGATCCGCTTGGATGGCGGTCAGATGACATTTTGTCACAGCAAGTGTTAGCCCAGTGCATTTTTCCATTGCTTTCCTTATCACAAAAGGTCTGATTTGGGGGAGGAAATGGGTTTGTTGTGCGAAACCTCCCACACATACCAGCCTAAACTTGTTAGTATGTGATTGAATCCCAAATGGATTCTGGAATGTGGCCATGAACTCTGATATTGCCACTTGCTCAACTGAGTGGAAGCTAGAGAGGGTTCTCTGAGTGCGTAGAAACTAGCCTACTGTCCAGACATAAATTTTTCATTTAGTTATTCAGCCCGCTTTTGCCTCTGGCCCCACCCCCCACTGGTATATGGCCCTTGGAAGGTTGCCCAGAAGGAAAAGTGTCCCTTGGGCTGAAAAAGCTTTCCCACCCCTGATCTAGAAGACCCCAAGGTCTTTCCAACCCTGTGATCCATCAGGGTGGCTCTAAAACTTACGCTGTCATGCCAAGGACAAGACTCCTGTCCTGGACCCCAGACTAGCTCTGCATGAGCCTGATTCTGGGATCTGTAGATTTTCAAGAGTGCTGGGAATTGTAGCTCTGTAAGGCTTAACTGCATTTCCCAAGTTTATTTAGGGGAAGCTTTGTGCTTTAATTGCACAGTGCGGAATGTTACTGTGGCTGTCCCAGCTGCTGAGTTTGTGGACCTTATGCTCTCTTCTCTCTATTGCTTCCCCAGGTATCTTGACAAAGGTCTGGTGGTTTTCCTTTGACCATGTCCCGACGAAGCCAGCGCCTTGGAACTGTTCGCTATTACCAAAATGAAGATGATGACAACATCAGTAATAGTGGAGGGAGTTCATTGCTGGGTAGTCAGCACATCCTATATAAAGATGGCTCTGATAGGTAAGTCAGAACAAAGCAAAAGGGAACCCACACCTTTCCCTCCCTCCTAAATGTTGATGCACTGCCAAGTTTCTCTGCAGCTCATTATAAAACATTAGCTTGTTATTGCTGCCTTTCACATCCAAGGGTTGCATGTGATATGTAAGTGGCATGAGCTGGGGATAGGAAGAGGCATTTTGTGTTGTGGGAGAAACTAATAGCAGTTTGCATGGTGCAATCCAAATTCACAAATTAGATAGATAGATATTGCATTTTGAAAAATCACATTTTGCTTTTAGACATTTGGTTGAGAATTTTCAGCACTGAAAGTTGTATTCAGACCTCAAACTGGATATCAGATTTATAGAGCTGAAGCATGGTTGAATTTCAAATCTGAGCACTGCTGTATTTTTAGGAAATTTATTGTTAACATCAAGCGGGGCCCAAACAGGTTTAACTGCAATATTAATCACAGCTATATTGCCCAGAGCTCTAACTCTGCATCCTTCAAAGTGGTTCTTAGAAGACTCTCAACTTGATTCTCTTCCTACGCAGAATACCAGTATAATTCTTGCCACATTCTCCCACATCTGACTTGTGATAACCCTCCCTGTTTCCACAGTTTTTCCCCAAGCAGCAATATAGCCACACCTTGTCTGATGCACAGCACATTACTTGATTAGAGGAGAAAGGAAGGGTTGCAGTACAGGAGAAGTAATTTTTCTAGTTCTTCAGCTTTGCTGGATGTGACATTTCCAAAGTTACAAATTTATTACAGAAGTCTTAAGGCACTTCAGTGTGTTATTAAAAATTAAGTGCAGCACTAGAGTTCATCCTAGCCTTGTATAGAATGTACGGTGCAGCAGTCAGTTGGCACAAATAGGTGGTTATGCTGTGGGAAACTTACGTTGCTTTGAAAGAAAAAAAAACTTGACAGGGCCCATTTTCAAAACCTGCTTTATACGTTTCACTTTTAGAAAGTAGCAGTAGCTTAGCACTACAATGGCACAGTATGGGGAAAACATTTATTTATTTATTCATTTATTCATTCATTCATGCATGCATGCATACATACATACATACCCTGCCTTTTTTCCTTGATGGGACTGAAGGTGGCTTAGTTAAAAGCAAGAGCCACAGAAAACAGCCACAAAATGCACCATGAAAAAAAGAGAAACCTATCCTCTTTAAAATGAAAAAAAGTTACTGCTTGTTACAGCTAGGGAGTTCAACCGCTTGCCAGCCATAACTGATGTCACATGGGCTGGCCACTACAAGTGCCCACTGTGCTTGAATTTATTTATCTATTTTTGCTTTTAAACCTTTCCTTCATGAAGGTCAAGGTGGTATACATTGCTCTCCTCCTCTCCATGTTATCCGTACAACAACCCTGTGAGGTAGGTTAGGCTGAGAGATGCTTTCCAAGGTCACCCAGAGAAGGTTCACGGCTGAGGGAGGATTTGAACCAGAGCCTAGTCCAACACTCTCACCACTGCACCACACCTGTCACCATGTGAAGTGGCCTCTATTTGCTGGCTGTAACCTTTTTTACTGGTCCTCTGTACTTAGGAGGAGGAGGAAAGGTGGAAGAGCTGACTGACAAGTGCAGTGACACTCAAACCACTATCCTGCTCTCTCGCTCTCTCGCTCTCTCTCTCTCTCTCTCTCTCTCGAGGTTTGAGTCCACAAACAGGTCAAGGCCACAGGTTCCCCATGACCAAAGAAGTTCAGTTTACAAAAAAGGGTGAGGGGAAGCTGTGCTCCTTGTTTTTCAGGCAAATGGCTTGTCAGGATTTTTCTCTTCCCCCTCACCCCTGGCCCAGTCAGTTGGCAACCCCATTTTCCATTTAGGAGTAGCTATTGCCTGGCTCCTGAGGCGGGTGGCGGGGCAGGTAATGCATTCATGCACTGCTTGTGAGCTTCCCAGAGGCATCTAGTTGGCCATTGTGGGAAAGGGATGCTGGACTAGGTGGGGCTTTGGCTTAGTCCAGCAGGGCTCTTCCGTTCCTCCTTCCTTCCTGTTCCACCATGAGCAGCTGCTAGACGCTAAGCCATCCAGGAAAACCACAGCTGCTGCAGAGGAAGCAGGCAGGAAGTAAGAGGTGGGAGAAAGAGCAAGCAGAGCAGTCTATTTGTGTGCTGAGCACATCTTCTCTCGCTTTGCAGAAGATCCGTAGGCGGCTAAGAAATGTTGTCATCTGCCTCTGCTCCCCCCAACTTTTAAAAATCATTTTTTAAATAGGCCAGGCAGAAATAGCTGCTTGTGCTATTTAAAAATGCACTCAGCAGCAAAGTTGTATATCTCTGTATTACCCTGGGCATTTCTCCTAATTCTGCATGAAAAAACCATGTTCTGGTTTCTTCCTGTAATGGAAACACGTTGTTGATCCCTCAGTGGCTATTTTCTGAACCGTCACACCTAATCTACAGACAGAGAGGTGAGACTGGACTTATCTATCATACCACAGCAAATATGAGCCACTGGTTTGGTGAGGTTATTATTGAAATTTTAAAGTGCGGGTGGGCAACCTGTGGCCTCAATATCAATTTTGTGGCTCCTGAAATTGCCTCATTCTTCTACATTGTCAGGGGTTATTCCTTTCCTCTTTGTTTCCTTTTTTCTTTTCTTTTTTTCTTTTCTGGCCTGGCTTCTTAAAGTGTGTCTCCCCTCTTTCTATGTAATTTCAGAACAACTGGAAGGATATGAGAATGTGTTTATAGCACACTAAAGTCAGAAAGGAGTTGCTTTCACTTGCTTTCCAGAACATTAGCTGTATTGATCTGTTGTATTAAGCTCCCTTGTATACTTACTTGAGAGTAACCCTGTCAAACCCAGTGGGGTTTGCTTCTGAGTAGACCTGCACGGGATTGAGAGAGCTAACCTCCAATAGTTTTGATGACCAGTGGTAGGCAGCCCCCCAATAGATTGCCCCAGGGAAATGTGTCCCTTGTACAAAAAAGGCTGTCTGGCCCTGTTTAAAGCTTCAGGCCTCGTAACACATTTTTAAACTTCTGGGTTGCCCCAGTTCATCCGCAGTCCGTCAGTGATATGGTTCAAAGCATGTATAGTGTGTACAAGTGCCTGGACTGAGACATTGCTCCAATGCTGGCATAAGAAAAGGAATAGAACAAAGCCACCCACAGAGAAACTTGTTCTAGGATCCTTTCCCCACTTGGAGCATCAAGCATACCCCATAATCCCCATAATCCGAGAATATTTTGGGGTGTACAGTATAGAGCATGGGTTCCCCAAGGGAGCCCCCAACCTGATTTCACCCAGCCCTCTTTGGGTTCCATCATCTGTTCAACAAAGAGGGGAAAGGGCTTCAGGCTTATGCAAACTGTACAATTGCAGCTCCTTCCACTGCAAGATCAAAGCAGAAGGGCGAATGTTTCAGCAGATGTTTTGCAGATATCCAAAAGGTAGTCTGTGCATTTTGCAGTGGCTATTGCATGCCTGCCTTTCAAAGTTTTGAGTTTCTAAATAGCTTTAACTTGGGGCTTGCAGTTTATCTGTGCATGATCTTATTTGCATTCTTCTGCAGAGATTCTTTTTAATAAAAACAAAAGCAAGCCAAATGTCATACACAAATGGTAGTTGGTGACTTGTTGCTTTCATCTTTATCTCACCCTTTCTCCAGTGCACATGGGTCCACCTTCCCATTTTATCCTCACAAAAATGTCATGTGGCAGCGAAGACTGAGAATATGTGACTGGCCCAAGGTCACCTAGTAAGAAGAGTCCCTGTTGTCATGGTGGCTGCCCAAATGCTCCTGGGAAGCTCACATGCAGGGCTTGAGCATAACAGCACCTGCTGCACATGCTCCCCAGCAACTGGTCTCCATATGCATACTGTCTCTGATACTGCAGGTAGTGCATAGCCAGCCACCATGATTACTAGTAGCCATTGAGCTGCACAGCTAGGCAGGGATTTGAACCAGTCCCTCCCTGGACCAAGTTTACAGCTTACTCCCCTTTCAGAGTATCTCACCCACCTGCAGTGCACAATTATCGCCACATAATGGACATTCAAAAGCCAGTTCTAATCCCTTTCAGATCCACACTAACCTTGAACATGCATAATTTCCCCTTTTCTCTTTCTGTCCTGTTAAATTCAGCCCCCAGATGCATGTCTGTTAAGTGGTGAGAGTTTAGTCATTACATACTACCAGCTTCATGTGTGTGAGCTTTGCCTTTCCCACACATTTATTGATTGATTAAATTTGTATCTTGTCTTTCCTCTGATGAACTCGGGGTAGCGTTTGTGGGTTTATTTTCAGCTCTCATTTTATCCTCATGGCAACCCTGTGGGGTAGGTAGGAATGGGAGAGAAAGTAGATAAAGTTTGCACTTAAGGGCTGACCTGCTGAATTCACACTTTCCAAAATGCAAGAATCAAAACACAGCCATCCTTCAAAATTTGCAGTTCCCTGGATTCTTCGGTACAGTTCTGCAGCCAAGTAATATGTCCAAAAATACAAATATTAGAGGAATATATATATAACTGTGAAAATAGCATACAAAAAAGCATATATCAGAGAAAATTGCTTTGCAAAAATGTGCATATTGAACAGAACTGGATGCAAAAAAGTGTACATTAGGAGAAATTAGCACTACAATGCTGATGAATTTAAAATAAAAATTCCAAACTGACATGGAAGTGCGGAGAACTGAACTTAAGACTGGAAGAATGAGAAATGGTCAGATTCACCCATCCCTGGTGGTAGGCTTGCTTGAGAAGGTCTCAATCAACCAGTTTGTTTCATGACATAGTGGGGGTTTATATGTGCGAAAGCTGCCCCAGGTCGTTTGACCTTTTAAAAGATATACCTAGTTCTCTTTTTCTGTCTTAGAAAAGACTGCACAAGGCACTCTGTTTAGGGTTTAAACATAACACATTATTTTACCTAGTATACTAAAACATATTTACATGCATTTATTTATATATCTTGGACTGACAGACTTATGAGACTTTACAGACTTCTGAGGCACATAGCATACAACAAACTCATTAACGCTCTACAGTTGATAACAGACATAACTGAAAAAACTGCCTACTGCAGTGACATCATAGAATTATATGCTACATTAACTATTTCCGTAGCATTTTAGATGCACCACTCCCACATGAACCTGGTTCTTCCATTTCTTAGTCCACCCTTCTAACCACTATCACACTGACACACATTGGCATGACTGTGTGTTCCTTTTTTTACTCCTGCAGCCGGAGCCTGAGAAGGAAATCAAGCAGTGTGAAGCGGCCATCTCCGGCTCCTAGCCTGGGAAGCAACCCTGCTGCCCATACCACCTCCTATTATAGCGAGTCTGTGGTCAGCGAATCTTACCTGGGAGATGGCAGGGGACTTTCTGGCAGAAGCAGTGCCCTCTTGGATGATCCACTAGACCGCAATTCTTACTGGAGTGAGTATTTCTTTTCCACTTAAGCCGAGGTTGGGGAATCCGTTGCCCTCCAGATGTTGGTGGACTCCAACTCCCATCATTGGGGGGGGGGATACCAGTCTACCACCCAGTATAAGCTGTAGAGAGGTTCTATATGGTTGCTTAGCACCCTCCTCAGCTACTTCTTACTTATTCTGAAATATTTATATCTGCTTGCTCTGCAGATCATATGTATATTTTTCTGTTGGAATTATATAGTATTATGACTGCTCTATTTATATTGATAGGAAATCAGGGTTGTGGGTTCAAGCCCCACATTGGGCAAAAGATTCCTGCATTCCAGGGAGTTGAACTGTGTGAGCTTTGTGGTCCCTTTAAACTCTACAGTTCTATGATTCTAGGTATACTAAATGGTTGTGCTGTAAATTTCATGGTATTGCTGTGTGTGATGTTAGCTTGAAGAACAAAGTAGGAAAAGTAGGGAAAGAATTTAAATACACCAGCCTTCCTCAACCTGGTGCCCTCCAGATGTTTAGGGCATCCCAGCATTCCTGCCCGTTGGCTGCGCTGGCTGAGGCTGCTGAGAGTTGGAGTCCAAAACATCTGGAGAAGAGCTTGCATCCGCTTTGCTCTTCCCCAGGTTTTTTAAGTTGGTGCAGGATGGCAGCCAAGCCACAGTTTAGTTGAGGTTTGTGGTTAAGGTTTCTTCTCTTTAATCACAGCCCGTAGTTGTAGGACAAACCTTGGCTACAGGTTATAGTTAAGGGAGGTAATGGCTAATTTGACATCAGGTGGGCGTAGCTTGCCCAAATTTGTCTCATGGGTCAAATCAGAAGGTCTAGCAAGCCAGATTGGGCCCAAGAGCCATTGGTTCTCCACCCCTGGTGTGGACAATACTGAGATTGATGGTCTGATCCAGTATGATAAGGCACCTTCCTATGTTCCTAAAGAAGTTCCTCTTTCCTGGCCAGGCGAGGAGTTGTCAGCAAGGAGGAGGAGAGGTACTGGAGGCTCGGAGTCCAGTAAAAAAATCAATGGGCTGGTTGAAAGGAAAACCTACGACACCTACGCCTCATCATCTGGCTACTCCTCTGAGGATGATTATGCAGGTACAGAAGTGCTCTTTGTCCCAAGGCAGTAGCAATGATGCTCTGTAATGAGAAACCTCCTAGGAGAGAAAACTCATGTAAAAAAAAAATCTTCTTGCACCAAGCCCTGTCCCACAGCATAGACTGCTTTTATGTCTCTTGTGGTGAAAACAGAGATAACCCTTTCACAATGGCCCTTTGCCTGTAGTGTCATCCTAGCTTTGCAGCTCCTCACACACACTGGCAAACCTTTGGTTCTGGCATCAGTCTCCCACCCACCCGCCGTTCCCTCATGCTGCAGGAAGGCTGCTCACCTTCGTAACAAAAGAAACAATAAAATAAGAACGACATGACACATAATGCAATATTCCAATTCAATTAAGCGAGCTGCAGCGACAAGAATTTAGATGCCCATACTGGTCTTGTGTTCTAGGGTCCTGTGGGGGTGAGGCAAGACCAGTTGCTATTTCTGCAGCGGATCTGCGTCTCCAGCATCCTAGAGCTGACCGATCAGCATGAAAGGGAAGCTTTTTAGCTGCTGTATGCTCCAAAGTGAAGAACACTGAAAGCACATTTTTGCTTCATTTTGAAGAGAATGGTGTGCAAGTTCTGTTATGCAAAATGGAACTTCACAGGAACCACAACTTAAGTCACTCCAAAGGAGAGAGCTATGTGCACAGGAAACAGTAGTTCTAGCTGAAGGGCAGCACATGGAGGTCTGTGCTGATAGTTGCAAGGCATCCCTAATTTTTATTACTATTGTATAATCTTAGAAGGTTGTACAATATTTGAAGGAGTGAGGCTGTGAGGGGGCATGGGTATGACTATAATGAAGGAACCTTGCTCTTCTGAATTTGCCACTATGCTACTGGATGCCCAAGACACCTCACCCCACATCAGGGCAAAAAAGGTGAGTTTTCACCTGCTGAAAAAATGACAACAGTGTTGTGATTGGATGGGCCTGAGAAGGGAGGTTGTTTCAAAGGTGTGGGGCCAGCACAGCGAAGGCCCACCCATGTGCCCCCTTCCTCACTAGGTGTAGGGACCACCACCAAAGCTTCCCTTGCACTTCTTAAAACTCAGGCAGGTTGGTAAATGCTTTATCAGTCCCGTTTCCTTGGACAGGTTTCTTCTGCTTTGGGAACCAAGGAAATAGGATCATAAAGAAATAATGTCTTTTCCTTCCATTCAAAGTGTGTGAGGGAAGGAGGAAGAAGTGATGTCCTGTTTGCTGACAAACCTATACTCTGTTTCCTGCAGGTCACACCTACTTGGACCAGAACACTTCTGGTTCCGTGCTGAGGAATGCAATCTCCAAAGCAGGCTCTTTTCTGTGGCTTGTGCTTACGTCACCAGGTAAATGGACAAGCCATTAAGTGTTTTATTTACAGGAGTGATTTTCATCATGCAAGTTAGCAAATGGAAATGAAAAGACAGCCTGAGCCCTTCTATCCCCACTGAGATCACACTGTTAGTTGACCATCATATTACACAGGCTTGGCTGGCCTCAACTACAAATCAGGCATTTAGTGTTTCTGGTCCAGTGCTGTGGAACACTCTGCCAGCAGAGATGCAGCAGACACCCTCCCTTTGGGCTTCCATACATCTCTTGAAGATCTTTTTGTGCCAATACAATTACATGACTATTTGTGACAACAGTAGTTAGTGATAACATTATTGTCTTAGCACTGCTAAGCAAATTGGCTTCCTGTCACATCACAAATGTCTTCTTTGTGCCTAGAGAGCTGGAATCAAATCTCTTGATATAATTCAACCCTTTCACGATGGAGTCTCCTCCTGACTTTCCTGTAACAGAAGGGCAGTTTTTTAGGACAGCAGTGGGAGCATTGCAGAAGATTTAGATGTTCTGGTTTCTCTGACTGTTGCCATTTCTGCTGCCAGATCTGCCTACATGGCAAGCGAATAAAGGAAGTTGTGTGCCAAGACCTGTTTCCGATGAGCTACATTGGGGAGATGGGAAGTGCGTGAAGGGAAGCTGGTATTATACCACTTTGCCAGAGCAGGAAATGAAGTCTTAGATCTTGAAACAAGCTGAGCTGTTGACATGGCCTGTTGCTGTTTTTCATGCTGCTCTGGTGACTTTGCAGGTCGGGTCTTTGGATTGCTATACTGGTGGATGGGGACCGCGTGGTACCGCCTGACCACTGCAGCCTCCCTGCTGGATGTCTTCGTCTTAACACGGTCAGTGTGGCAGAGAATTTAGAACGTTCAGGAATGCGGCTGGCAACAATTTCTGAACTGGCTGAGAGGCAGCAATTGGGTGGGAGCTGAAAAGTGCAAATGCCAACAGGGTTTCCAAAGCTTGCCCTACAGGAGGGAGTGGGAGCCTCTTGCTCCCCAGGAGTTGATAGACTCTGACTCCCTGAAAATTGGCCATGCTGAACTATTTTTCTTTCTTTTTCTGGTTTGTATTTGATGTTTTAGCTTTGATGTGGTTGCAGTGGCATTACTATTTTGATTTTGTTATTCAACTTGGAATGACACTTTATAGTCAGTCTGTGTCTATACATTTAATTAATTAATTAATTAATAATAAATTGTTTGTATGTTGTGTGGTTGGAATGATGAATTTGTTAGCTGCCTTGAGCTGCTTTTGAAAATTAGGGGGGCTAGCCATTTGAAAAATAAACTAAATATGTGCAGTCTTTCTGATGTCATACAGCCTGCCCCTTATTTGCTGGAATGGCCTCTCCCATGGCTGATCCTGGACTACAATTCCTATCATCCCTGACTGTCGGCCATGCTGGCTGGGGCTGATGGGAGTTTGGAGTCCCAACAGCATTGGGAGGATGACGACAATAGGTTGGAGACAGCTGAACTAAGGGGTCACCATATGCAACCCACTATCTGGGGCTGAGATTGGAGCTACATGTTGCAAGAGACTTGCAACTGCTGCTGCCCATCTAGCTCTCTTTGGTTCCTCTTCTCACTAATGGCAACCATAGCACAAAGTGTTGTGCGAAGATGTCATGTTGCGTATTTCCCTGTCCCCTTTTGCATTGTGGGGTGGGAAAGCTCACAGTCTGATGGCTGACACATTGTGTTGTGGTAGTCCAGAGATTAGTAATCTCAGTCTCAGAGAGGGGCAGTGCAATAATTACTTACTACATGTTGCATTGTGGTAGACCAAGGGTGGGGGACCACAGGCCTGGGGTCTGAATGTGGCCCTCTGTGCTTCACTGTGTGGCCCTCAGAGCTCTCCCAGGCCCCACCCCTCACTCTCCCTACTTTGCACCCCGGATACTTGGATAATGCCTTTTGCTTCCCTGGATGGAGGTTAGAGAGAGTTGTGGCAGTGCACATGTAGAAATTTAGCACATTGTACAAAGGTAAATCCATTGTTTTCCCTGCTTTTGCCTTTTGCCCTGTCCACCACTGGCATGTGGGGCCCCCAGAAGGTTGCCCAGAATGAAATGTGGCTCTCAGGCTGCAAAAAGATTTCCCCACCCTTATGGTAGACATTATGAGGAAGGGCAAATTGACCATAGACAGTGGCTGCTCCGCTTCTTTGTCAGGTTTTGCCTTTGTGGAATTCCACTGCATCTTATCCTCTCCCTTTCTCTCTTGCTCCTTGGTGCCCAGGAGCTATCCAATCCTGAAGAAGCTCCTCTTGCTGCTGCTCCTGTTGCTGCTCCTGACTGCCATTGGCTACGGTGAGTTCCATATTGCTGTCAAGGTCCTCCTGCACATCAATAAGTGCTGCTTAATGATTAGTTATTCACCAACTTCCTTTCAGGAAGGGGAGAACTGTAGTGTAATAAGGACTGCTTTGCAGGATCAGACCACCCACCATTCCTCCTCCTGCAGCAGCCAACCAGATGCCTCTGGAAGCTCACAGACAAGGCATGATGGCAATTATTCCTTTGTTTTATCTGCCTGCATCTGAACACTGGGCTTCCAATTTTGCTACCTCTGCTGGTAGCTTTTGTTAGTAATATCCTCCAAGATTCTGTCTGATCTCTTAATTTTTTTTTCAATTTCCCCTTCTGGGGAGAAGCTGTAGCTCAGTAGGGGTCCACGTTTTGCATGCAGAAGGTCTCAGGTTCAACCACTGGCATCTCCAGGATGGATGGGGGAAGGCCAGACTTGGGGCTCTCCTGATGTTGCTGAACTAGAACTCCCCCCATCCCTGAGCATTGGTCATGCTGGCTGGGGCTGCCAGGATTGGTTTGCCATGGGAGGCAGCATTGAGCTAGAAGAACCATGACTGCTTCCAAAACTGGTGTCCATTCCCACATCTTATGGTGAATTCCCCAAATTAACTTGTGTGAAGTTCTTCCTTCTATCCGTCCTGAGCTGACTATGGTGCCAATCCATTTTATTGAGTGACCGTATGTTCTGGTGTTATGAGGTTGAGTTATATAAATCAGCCTATCTACGTAAGCCCTCATTTGAATATTGGTGTATATTCTGAAGTTTATATTTAACTAGATTTTTGTAAGTCAGACTGGACATCTGCTTTGACAGAATAGCCGGGTAAAGACCCATCGGATAAACCCAACTGTAACTGAACTCTCCTTACTAATCACATTTAGGTGCCTGGTATTTTTACCCCTTCGGACTCCACCCATCTGTGTTTTCTTGGGGATCTATGAAGCTGTCTTCTCCTGTTACCAAAAAGGGAGACGAAGCAAGAGATTTTGTTGCATTCTCGGAGGTGAGTACTATGTGGATCTCAGAGGTTCATCAGTAGGAGACACCCTGCAACATTTCTGCTCACCCCTCAGGCTGAGCTGAGCTAGGGAGTTCCCTCTTTGCTTCACAGGGATATAATTATATTCTTGTAAACATAGGTGGATTCATGCAGAGCCATATACTTTGCTGCTTCTGAGCTGTAACCTGGGGTTAAGATGGTCATAAAATTCTAATGGGAACTATGGTGGGTGGTGCTGTGGTCTAAACCACTAAGCCTAGGGCTTGCCAATCAGAAGGTCGCAGTTCGAATCCCCACGACGGGGTGAGCTCCCATTGTCTGGTCCCTGCTCCTGCCAACCTAGCAGTTCGAAAGCGGGAAGGTAAATGGTGTTTCTGTGCACTGGTTTCACCAGAAGCAGCTTAGTCATGCTGGCCACATGACCCGGAAAAACTGTCTGCGGATAAACGTCGGTTCCCTCGGCCAGTAAAGTGAGATGAGCGCCGCAACCCCAGAGTCGTTCGCAACTGGACTTAACTGTCAGGGGTACTTTATCTTTTTTGTGGTGGGTTAAGAATCCAAGGGATAGCTCAGTCAGTAGAGCATGAGACTCTTAATCTCAGGGTTGTGGGTTCAAGCCAAACATTGGGCAAAAGATTCCCACATTGCAGGGGGTTGGAATAGATGAACAAAGAAAGAGCCTTGTTGCATCTGAAGCCTAGGATACATTTCCAGCATACATTTAAATGAAATAATTCTGGGAGCTGCAGTTTGTCAGGGGTGCAGAGAGCATTTTACATGATTCATTTTAGATTCTTTCTAATAAATTATGGTGATAGTAGCCTTATGTAGCTGCATCTCTCTCCCCCCCCCTCCCCATGCCCTGAATTTAAAAGGGACAGCAGCAGGTTTTGTCTCGGCTTCAGGCACTGGAGAGACATCTTGAGAGCCTGGAAGGTGCAGTTTCAGTGCTGGAACTGCAAAAAGGGGGAAAGACGGTGGAAGGGGCAGCCCTGTCTCATGACGATACCCTGTCACTTCTGGATGGGCTGGTGAGACGACGAGAAACCATCTTGAGAGAGGAATTCCGTGCAGAGTCAGACCTTCACCTCCAGGTAGGGCAGGAACAGAGAACGAAGGGGACATTTTGGCATCAAGGGGGAGAATTTACTTTAGGGCTGCAAGCATGTTGACTTGTGCACATAACTGCTTAATTTCCAGTTTTGAACACTCCTCAGATTTGGGTATGAGCAGAGCCTGGATCCCTTTTTTGCATTCATGACGATTTGTGCTCATGGTATCGGGGTGGTTATACACAATCTCACTTTCTATGTTGCTTGGGCCAGCAAAAGATTTGGAGTGGACATACTACTTTGTTTCCAATCGGTGCATGTCCTGTAGCTTCCTGATGAAACCCTGCAACACTCTTGCTTCAGGAAACCATTTAACTTCTCTGCAATCCTTGTTTTTCAGAGGTTTCTGAGAAATGGCTCTAGGGCACTTACTCAGGGGCAACCCTGACATTGACATTAAACATGTCTTCCTTCTGCATGTTGCTCCCTACCCTTGCCTTAAAATAGCAGTTGCAGTTTGCTCAGTCTTGATTAGGATCATGGGATGGGAGAAGGGTCAAGCCTTTCCTCTGCACCATTTTTTCCACCTAAAAATGATCTCCTGAAGCTGCTGTTTGCAGCAAACAGCATCAACAAGTGGGATCTTAAGGGGAGGTTTCTAGCAGAACAACAACATAGAGAGCAAATGCTTGAAAAAACAGATAGTTACGCAATTTATCTGTAAGTAATGGCACAAAAATTACTTGCTGGAGCTTTAATTGCAGTTTTGCAATGTCAATATTTTGGTTCATTGGTTTGTTTGATTAACCAATTCAAAACCAAACTATTAATCAGTTATCAAACTTGTGCTTGTTTTTAAAGCTATATACTACTTCTCTTGTCTCCCTACAGAATGAGTTGGATGCTTTTCGATCCCAGCTACGGAAGGATTTTGACAGTCTCTTGAAGAAAGTATCCCAGGCTTCAGAGGTAAAACTTGATTTCATATTTTAAGGATGCAGTGTGTAGGGAAGGTTGTCATACCACCTGCATTCACTTTCAAAGAATATTGGCTTGTTGTATCATATGAACCAAGGATCCTGGCTTAACACAATTCCTGGTTAAACAAGCCAGCTTCAAAAACCATGGTTTGAAGCTTCTTGATAGTTTCTTGTGACATTCACTAGAGTTTGGTATAAGCCAAGAATCCTTGCTCATACAGCACAACAAGATGCCATTTCTTTGAAATTGAAATTACTCTGCAGAATAACAGGAAGCTGCCCATACCAAGTCAGACAGTTGCCCAATCTAGCTCAGTGCTGTCAACACTAGCAGTAGCTCTCCAGAGTTTCAGACAAGGGGTCTCCTCCATCCCTATTGGGGGATGATAGAGACTGAAGCTGGGATCCTCTTCATGCTAAGCAGATGCTCTTATGTCTGAGCTGTGGTCCTTCCCAGAAGTCGTCGTCCTGACTGCACAGGAGGAGGAAGTGCTTGAACTTGCTGGAGCTTCTTCATGTTGCACTAAACCATGGTTTCTTGTTACATGTAGCTGAAACCACTGTCTTAACAGCTCTTATAGTTGTATTGTGGTCCCCCCCCATTTTTAATCCAAATAGAATATTTACAGTTTTCACGTTTTAGTAAAACATGTGTAACCTTTACATTGATTATTTCAATTCTGTTTCACTGCATCTTTAAACATTGCTAGGTGTGATGCAGCTGATCTTAAGCACATCTCCCACTAATTTAAGGGGGAGGGGAGGTTTAAGCATGTGCTTAGCTCTATTTAATTAAATGAGACATGCAAGCCAAACTTCTAGGGGGGGCTCTAACTCAGTGGGGGAGCATGAAGTCAGCTGGATGGGCAGAAGGACAAGGCTTAGTCCTGCATTGGCTGTACATCCTGTTCTCTCCAGAGGCTGAAACAGAAGTGCAGGGGGTGAGGAAGGTCTGTCTTGAAGCGCTTTGCAAAAGCAGTCTTTGAAGCAGCCTCTTGCTTCTCCCCTATGTAGCCAGTGGTGAGTTGAAGAGAGGAGGCTCCTTTCTGCTCTCTCCTACTGCCTGCCTGCTCACGTAAATGAGAAGCATGGCGCTTCTTCAAAGAGGACTTTTGCAGATGGCTTTAACCCCTGCTCACCGACTGAGAAGTGGACAAAGAAGTAGTGAATGGTCCAAATAGAAGATATGTTATGATTCATCCATCCATCCCTTACTGTGGCTCCTCCAGTTGTGCTCCTCCAGTTCTAGTTACACACACGGTGCTGCACAAGCAATGGATTTTATTCTGCTTTGTTTCTATTTCCTGACCTGTGTCCTGTTTCTCCCACAGGAGACAGAAACTCGGATGCTCCAAATGACTTCGCAGTGGCAAAGGTAATTTGAGCATCCTCAAGAAAGAGTTGTCTCCTATGGCAGTTTCTGTCTTACGATAGCAGGAGGGCCGGGAATGCATGTAACCTGAGAGAATTGTGTTTAAAGTGACATTGTTCTTAACTTGAAAGTGAAACTTACGTATTCTTGGAATAACAGGGTGCATGAATAACCTGAGAATTTCTGTCAATGCTGTTCATACAATTTATCACCTTTTAAGTAGTGATGCTGACATATAATGAGCTGGTAAGATGCTCTGATGGTGTTTCCTGCTTGGCAGGGGGTTGGACTCGATGGCCTTTGTGGTCTATTCCAACTCTATGATTCTATGTTCAGTGCTTGTAATACTTGCTTATATTACAAGTCAAACCTGTTTGTTTGGCCCAGAAACCTGTAATTAGTGGCTGAAATATGGTTTTAGGAGATTGGAAGGGGGGGGTCACACATCATTGTTTGTTTAATTCATTTGCAGTTTGCACCATTTTGCTTTTAAGAAAGTGTTTTTTCTTAAGTCCTGTTGCAGTCAAAGATCAACTAGGAACTATGTGCTATTTTTTGATGGCAAGTACTTATAAAGAGGCATAGTCAGTTGCTGCCCTATTACCTATATTCAGAACATCTTAACTATTTATTCATTTGATATATTTTTTTTATCCCTCTCTGCAGCCACAGTCTCACAAAGAGACATCCATGAGATCAACAGCAAACAAGACATATTGGAAATCAGAGCAGATCCACACCATCCATTTAAATCACATCCACACACATTTAAAGCACAACTTTCTCCAAAAGTTCCTGGGAACTGTAGTTTCACCACTTGTAGAGCTACAGTTCACAGGCTTCTTTGATGAAATGCATGTGCTTTAAATATACGTTGAATGTGCTTTAAATGTATGGTGTGGTACATAGCTTAGATTAGGCTGTCTGGTATTACTTGGGTTAATTTTCATGGGGTGGCTGTTGACTGATCTTCACAGCCAAACATAGTTTTTGTAGAACATTATTGCTGGAGGTGATTAAAGATACCACCGACTCTGAAGCACCTGAATTTTCATTTTGCTTTTGAAGCTCTACACAAGAAGGTCTGATGGGTAATTTCCAAAAGGAGATGGAAAGGCTGGAAGCGCAACTGACAGGCCTGAAAAAAGAATTTGTGGTCTTGGCCTCGGATCAGAAAAGGTTGTCAAAACACGTGGATTCTTTGCCAGGACAGATCAAGGAAATGCGGGAAGATGTAAGTTCATTTTATTTTATATATCATTTATTTAATACCTTTCCTCCAGCTCAAGCTGATCTACATGGTTTCTCATCTCTGCATTTTAAGTCTTGCAATAAACCTGTTATTCCAGTCCAAGGTCTCCCAGTGACCTTCATAGCTAAGCCTTTCTTGGAAAGCTTTTATCTCTAGTGTAGTATAGCCAGGGAACTGGAGGTCTGCTCCTTTCTATGTAGGAGTAGACATGAACCAGGCATGGAGAGCCTCGGAGCCAAATTAAGTCTGTCGGACGTCCTAATTTTTCCTGCAAGGCTGTTTTCCCCAAACCACACTTAACCTTCCCTGACATCTGAGGTGTGTCATATGTGTGGCAGGTAAGAACATGGCTGCAAAGGAACAGTCTGGAGATAAAAGTGCATTACTGATGGGTGCTGACAGCAAGCCCTGCTTGCTGATCAGTGCTGAAAGCACATCTCATTGAAGTTATTTATTTATATTTTATTGATATTGTTATAGTAAATTAAAGTAAATAAACAAATGAATAGAAAAAGGAGAGGATACATCAGAAACATTTTTAAAAGCAGAGGAAAGCAGCAGAAACAAAATAAGCATACAATATAATTAAGATTACAAAACTATATAAGCTTATTGTTTCCCTCAAGTATATGTTGATTCATGTGTCACTATGGTTTCGACAAATGCATTCCAAATATTTATTAAATTTGTCGCCTGTTGTCACAATGACATCAGGTAAATGACAGGTGGGCAGTCCCACCCATCTGACAAAGTGGCCTGCAGGAGGGGGAAAAGGTCAGTGTCCAGCCTACGGATCAGCAAAATGTCAAAATTAAAAGATGTCAAAAGATGAAAAGCTGCAAACATTTTTGTTAAGTATCTCTGCCCCACCCATCATGCCCCTTAGAAAGAACAAATCTTCCAAGGTGGAAGCATTGCTGTTGCTGTTATTTAACAAATGTATACCCCTCCTTTCCTCCCAAGGGAGCCCAGGGCAGCTGTTGCTTGTTCTCAGTAATCTCTTTACATTCTCTCCATAGAAGGTCTGCAATTCACAGGAGGAAAAGTGTTTATGAAACCTGTTCTTCTCTTCGTTGGATTTCAGGTGGAAATCCAGTTTCCGATATGGCTCAGCCGATTCCTATCCCAGTCTAAAAGGGACGGGACAGGCAGTCTGTTTCTCCATCGTGAAGAATTAGAGGAACAGCTCCTCAACCTGGAGCAGAAGATCCTTGCCAAAGTCTCTGAGGACCAGCGGCTCTCTGCGCGAGATGTCGGGGTGGTACTCCAAAGGGAGGGCGTCATAGGAGTAACGGAAGAGGTGAGAATTCGCTTACCAATTGGCTGAAGTGGTTCCTCACAAGGGCATTTCCAAGAATGATGCTAAGATGGTGATGTAGAATGTTACCTGTGTGTGTGTATTTAGATGTCTGGAATGTGAAAGTAATATTGAGGAGCAACAATGAAAAGGCTACCTCACCCCCGCTAAATTTGGCTGAAGAAATGAAGAAAGCTTTGTGGGAAACCAGGAGTGAATTTTTGTCCTAGACTGAACACGTGCTCAGTGGCATCCTGTTCTTAATTCTTAGTCTGTGTCCTTTTTTAGTATACTTAGTACAGTAAGCCTGCAATTTGTGTGCTTTTAATTTGTGCACATTCACCTTTACCCACTTGGCAAATAAAAAAAATAATAAAGGGGCAGGTGTCTGGGGGGAAAGACTCTGGCAACCCCCCACTCCATTGCACCCAGTGTGTTTAGATGATACGCGATTTTGGCTTTAGGCGCGATCACCGGAATGTAAGTTATGGGCTTACTGTATACCTTAATTCTTAGCATATGTATTAGTATGTGAGTTTGGTTGCTAGTTCTAGTAAAAAAACAAAGTAGGTCTCCAGTATCTAAAATGTCTCCAGCTCCACCTGCCTTAGCTGAGCCATAAACTCTGGCTCTCAACCTCACATCTGCAATATGGGGCAAGGCTTTGTAAGAATGACTTATGTGCAGGTAGTGCTGTGAACACTGAAAATGCTGTATAAATGCCAATTATCATTATGAAGGAGCCAATGATCAGCCTTCTATTCAGGGCTGAACCAGTCAGTCATGTTTGGTAAGGCTCTTCCCTGCCTCCCTTCTGCTCTCATGATTCTTCCAGGCCACTTCTCAACCCAGATGTCCTATGGCATCAGCACAGCCATATCCGGCTGGTTGGTCTCTGTCCCTGCACAGCCCTGGAATTCTTGAGTCTCCAGTGCTAATGCTATTCCAGGCTACATCAACAGAAGTATAGTGTCCAGATCAAGGGAAGTTCTAGTACTATTCTGCCCTGATCAGACCACACCTGGAATACTGTGTCCAATTCTGGCCACCACAAGTTAAGTAGGATGTTGACAAGCTGGAAGGTGTGCAGAGGAGGGCAACCAAGATGATGCAAGGGTCTGGAAACAAAGCCTTGTGAGGAGTGGTTGAAGGAGCTGTGCATGTTTACCTTGGAAAAGAAGAGACTGAGAGGAGATACGATAGCCACCTTCAAATATCTCAAGGGTTGTCACATGGAAGAGGGAACAAGCTTGTTTTCTCCTGCTCTGGAGGGTAGGACTCAAACCAATGGCTTAAAGTTACAAGAAAGGAGATTCCAACTAAACGTACAGAAAAACTTTCTAAGAGTGAGGGCTATTCGACAGTGGAATGGTCTCCTTCGGAAGGTGGTGGACTCTCCTTCCTTGGAGGTTTTTAAGCAGAGGTTGGATGGCCAATTGTCATGGATGCTTTAGCTGAGATTCCTGCATTGCAGGGAGCTGGACTTGATGACCCTTGGGGTCCGTTCCAGCTCTACGATTGATTCTATACCTTTGACAACAGTGCAAGCAATATTTTGAGTGGCATATCAGCAGCCATCCATTAGGTGGCACCGTCAGCCATCCCTTTGCTCCCTGACACAGTAATAACTCTTAACTTTGCTAATATATTTGCCTGCTGAATATTAAGCCTCAACTCTCATCCTAGGCAGTATCGGTTATTGACAAAATAGTGATCAGCTCTGCAGGGTTTGACAGTTCCTTATTTTTCAGGATGTCACTAACAATTTGGTGTGTAAGGCAGGAAGGAATGGTTAAGTCACAATTTATGGGTAATATGCAACTAAGTTCACTCAGAATAGACCCATTGAAACTAATGAATATGACCAAGTTGTGTCCATTAATTTCAATGGGTCTACTCATTGAAATTAATGACACTAACTTTTAATATCACCCTATGCCTCTTCAACTGAGTAAAAAATGTGGCATGATGTTCCCAGGCAAATTTTTGGCACAGCAGTCCCACTGGTCCATACAGTGCAGGTCTCATGTCTTAGTGGTCTGTTGATGCACCACTGATATGCAACCAGTCTCAGGATTTGCACCAGCCAAGCTATACCTGAATTCCTCAGGTAGCCTTGCCATTTGCACACTTTAGCCTGGCAGAATAGAACAAAACTGGAAAATAAGTTTTGGAATCCTGAGTTCTCGCCTTACATTCATTCCCTTTCTCTTGTTTCAGCAAGTTCACCACATTGTCAACCAGGCCCTGAAGCGCTACAGCGATGATCGCATTGGAATGGTTGATTATGCTCTTGAATCTGCAGGTATGCAAACTCTGGCTAGGCTGGTCTTTCTGTCCTGATAGCTGTCAAGAAAGGTGGCCTGATGTTGATTACATGATGTTGATTCCTTCCTGCTGCAGGAAGGAATTGTCTGAGAATCTTCTCTTTCACGTTAAAAACAACAACAACAATCATGCTTCTAGCCCTCATAGTGGCAAAGAATAACCTAAAACTTTGTTGCCAGTTTCTGTTATAAACTGAAAAACCAGAAAGGGTTCCCCCTCTGCATATCCACACCTATTTGTTTCTCAAATTTCAGCAATTTTTGTCTCTTCTGTCTCTCCTACAAGATTCAGCTTCTGCCCTCTCCCAAGAAAAGTTCCTAAACCCCAAATTGCCGATTCAGAATAATGCATGCAAATATGCATTGAATAGCCCAGTTGCAGTTTGGGAATATCTTATTGTTAGAGTGGGGAATGTTAAAGGAATGTTCAAATATCTTTTAGATTTATCAGCTGTCTGCATGAGCTCTCTTACTGCTTTGAGCAGAGGGCAAAACGATGTGTCTCTCCTTCACCCATATCTTTTTAACTACAGGGGCCAGTGTTATCAGCACCCGGTGCTCAGAAACCTATGAGACCAAGACTGCATTGCTTAGTCTCTTTGGGATCCCCCTGTGGTACCACTCCCAGTCTCCACGAGTCATTCTGCAGGTAGGTTTTATTAAAGGTACAATGGCCCTGCCCTACCTTTTCTTTGTTATCTTATTCTCCCCAAAGTGTCTGGTTCAAATCCACAATACCTCACCCAGCAGATTACCTTTTTATTTAGACCTTCATCCTAGAAGGTTGGTATGTATTGCGAATATCCACAACTACTCTATAAAGTAAGCTGGGACAGAGTGTGTATGTGACTGCCCCAGTAAACCTCATATGCAAGCAGGTATCAATATAGTGGTCTCAAATGTTGAACTGGAGAAAATATGCTGTGTGTGCTATTACATGCTCAGACAAAGAGTATCAAAGCTTTGCATAAACTCCCCACTAGACAGAATCTGAAACCTGGCAGTTTACCCTCCTGAGAAACTCTTGCTTTTTGCCTTGGGTTCTTTTGCCACTATTGCCCCGGTGTGTGGTCTGAAGGCACCTTGCTAAAGCTAAGCAGATCTGGCTCTGATCTATACCTGGATGGCTGGCTGCCTGCCCAGAAACTACATGTATGGCACTTTGGGTTCCAAGATGGAAGGAAAGCAGGATATTGATGTAAAAAATTAAACAGAACTGTGGCAGTAAATATAAAACCACCTTGTAGGAAGCAGAGAGGTAGTGAGTGCAGTAAGAAACAGGGGGTCTACATGACTTCATCACAAGGATGAGCCATATTCCACATTATAAGGGGAAGAGAGTAAGCACGTGACAGGACTGATTGCCATATTCAGCAGCATTCCCGTGTCAATTACAGCATGTCTTTCCACCTTGAAAATGAAAGGCGAAATGTATATTACAGATGGAGCAATCTGCTCCCTGACCTGCATGGAATTCCTAGTCACCTGCCAGGTGATATGTTAAATACTTATTAACAGATGTTTAAAAGTCCCTTTGCCCTGTTTTATATGGAATACGATAACAGTACCATAAGGTGCCAAGGGCTGTGTTAAATTTGTGAACAAGTACCAACCCAGAGATCACTGTGTTTTCCCTCCTGGTCCTTGCATATTGGAGCATCATTTCTGCTTTCAGATACAATGGTTAAGCGTCATATGGCAGCGTCTTACCTAAAACTCTGTGTTTGATTTAATTTCAGCCAGATGTCCACCCTGGGAACTGCTGGGCGTTCCAAGGCTCCCAAGGCTTTGCTGTCATTCGCCTTTCGAGCAACATCCGTCCCACAGCTGTGACGCTAGAACACATCTCCAAAGCCCTCTCTCCCAAAGGGACCATTCCCAGCGCCCCCAAGGACTTTGCTGTCTATGTAAGTCACTCTTTGCTTGTTACTGAGGGGGAGGATGTCGTAGATTGGGCAAGTTTAAAAGAGGCACACTGGAGATAATTTCCCATTCTCAGTCAGAAGAGGGAGGCTTCTCTCACACTTTGCTAGCAGGGGTTCCAATAGCATCCAGGGCTTTTCCACCAGAAGAGTCTCCTCAGATTTCTCTCTCTCTCTCAAAAGTACAGCAAGATGCCGTTCATAAATTTGCCCAACTGTGTGGTCAGATGCACAGCTATTTAAGGCCCCATCTGCATGATATACATTTAAACCAATATTATTCCACTTTAGACAGTCATGGCTTCCCCCCAAAGACTCCTGGGAACTGTAGTTTGTGAAGTGTGCTGAGAGCAGGCCTCTATTAACCTTACAGAGCTACTGTTGACAGATTTCCCTGGGAAAAGGGACTGATTGTTGCTCAGCATCTTTAGCAAACGGTACTTCCCAGTAAGCTTCATGGCCTGGAGGGGATTTGAACCCTGGTCTCCCACATCCTAGTCTGACACTACACCACACTGGCTCTCAGTTCAGTCATATACATCAGCTTTCACCCACCTGGTGTCCTCCAAGTGTTTTGGACCACAACCTCTGTCAGTTGTGCTGGCTGAGGCTGATGGGAGTTGTAGTCCAAAGAGACCTATGTTGGCCAAGGCTGATGTGCAGTGTGAATACAGGTGCACCAAGCCACCCAAGAGTCTGGGGTGAAAGGAGCCATTTGTTAGAAACCTTGGGATCATTAATGAGGAAGTTTGGGTTGGTACAACCAGGAGCCAAGACTGCAGCCAAGAATACAGATGCAAACTGGCATTAGTCTTTGTCCAACTTACACTGCTGCAGCTCCCTAAGAATCCTGGGAACTGTAGTATAAATGTCTTGAAATTTCATTTGGAGCCCAAGGACCGTCCTGCAGAACTGCAATTCCCAGGGTATTCAAGAGGGAAGGAATAAATCAAGACAGTATGCATTCACATCACACTTTTACAGCACATGGCTTTTCTCAAAAATCCTGGGGATCGTAAATTGCACTTCTCTCTGGGAAAGGAGGAAGAGGCATTGACGTTCATAACTACCATCAGCCTTCTTTCCCTACCCCTCTACTGCTCCCATTTGTCCCTTACCTCCTCATAGCCCTATGTGTTTCATTTTGGCATGCAGCCACAAGACTGGCCTTTAACCGCACTTGTGTCCCTCCCCCCTCTCTGATCCTGCGGTTGCTCTGATCTCCCCACGGCCCTGCCCTTCCCATTCTCTCACCCCTTCCCTCCTTTTCCCCAACCTTTTTTTGTTTCCACAGGGCTTAACAGAAGAAGGGCAGCAAGAGGGCACCCTCCTTGGCCAGTTTACGTACAGCCAGGATGGGGATCCCATCCAAACATTCCATTTGCAGGTAAGGGAGGAAAAAGTGCAAGGTTTGAAGGGTGGTGGTGGGTCGAAACCCTAGCCAAGGTAGAACTGGAGAGTGTGGTAGCTTTTAGGAAACTACCTCAGACTGAATCAGGTGACTTGGTCCATTCAGTTCAGTATTGTCTACACTGATGGGCAGCTGGTCTCCAGGGTTTCAGGTAGGGCAGGGGCCCTCTCTCAGCCCTACCTGAAGATGCCAGAGATTGAACCTGGGACCTCATGCATGCAGATGCTATAACTCTTCCCCAAAGGAAACTTTGGTTGGGTTTTAAGCCAGGGATGGAGAAGCTGCAGCCCTCCAATTGCTGCTGAACTCCAACTCCTATCAGCTGCTGCACCAGGAAGGCCAGTGGGCAGGGATAGTTGGAGTTCTAGTCCAGCAGGACAACCCCCCCAAAAAAGTATTGTATAAAATTACCGTATTTTTCGCCCTATAGGACGCACTTTCCCCCCTCCAAAAATGAAGGGGAAATGTGTGTGTGTCCTATGGGGCGAATGCAGGCTTTCGCTGAAGCCTGGAGAGCGAGAGGGGTCAGTGCGCACCGACCCCTCTCGCTCTCCAGGCTTCAGGAAGCTATCCGCAAGCCTTGGGAGCTCAGCGCGACTTCCCGCTGGGCTCCCAAGGCTTGCGGACAGCAGCCTGCAGCCCGAAACCCGGGGGGCGCAGCGGAGCGCGCCCCGGGCTTCGGGCAGATATCCGCAAGAATGGGGAGCCCGTGGGAGTTCCCGCCGGGCTCCCCAGGCTTGTGGATAGCAGCCTGTTCTGGGGGCTGGGGTCGGGGAACTCGGGCTTCCCCCGCCCCAGCCCCGCGCCTGGGGGGGAAATAATTTTTTTTTATTCCCCCCCCCAAAAAAAGTAGGTGTGCCCTATAGGGCGAAAAATACGGTATGTATAAAAAGTTACAGGACATTAGCAGGAAACAATGCAACATGTGCTGATTAGAAATGAAGCAGTAGTATAGGATCAGCATTACACTAGCCATAGCTGTATGTGTAATAATGTAACAAATAGGATCAAGAGGGACTGAAACAATTCATTTTTGTACCTCAAGTCATCATAGGACTCTTGTTTGTTATTTAAATTGAATAAATTGCAGGACATGTCTAATATTTGGTGATGCTAGGCATGGAGTAGTCAGATAAATATTACCTGTGATGGCGGCAGGAATAAAGAGGGGTTATTGAAATACCCATCAACAACTCGGCTCAGGGCTGTACATCTTGTTAAGAGTGGGAAGGTGGTACCTGGGATTGTGAGCAATGCCAGAGCATCTCACAAAAGAGGGTGGTGGTGGAGACGGCGGCATGGCAGCCCTCTGTCTCCAAAGAAACAAGCTTGATGCTTCTCTGGCCCTCCTCAATATTTTGCCTTTCTCTCTTCCCTTTTCCCTCCCTGCTTCCCCTTTTTTATATCCTCAGGATGAAGGCAGGATTGCAGCTTTCCAGCTTATTGAGCTTAGAGTTCTCAGCAACTGGGGCCACCCGGAGTACACCTGTATTTATCGTTTCCGCGTGCATGGGGAGCCAGTCCCTTAACCCCTCCTGCATGCCGCAGCCTTGCTCACTGGCTACCTCAAGTTCTGCGCCTCAGACTGACAAAAGGCAGACGGAGAAGAGCAGTGTTGGAAAGGAGAGCAACTTGGGATGAGTGACGCTTCTTTTTGTTACGAGGGGAAGCATGGAGACTTCAAAATTCCTATCCTGGTCAATTGGTTCTCTCCTAAGGGCAGGGGGTGGGGGTACCTTTCAGTATGCAGAGGGAGAAAGAGGGCTTCTTGATTTTTGGTATTTTATATTCAGCTTTTTGAAAAAAACAAAAGCCTATGCAGTTCATCTCTTCCCCCTCCACCATCAAGGAAAAATAGTTTCTGGGTGTTCCTTTAGAAAGCTGTGCCATGATACTGTCATAGTTCTATCAGTGTTTATGTAATTATATTATATTTGGGGGAGGGAGTGTATCTATGGATTCTTTCTTTGATAAAGGGTAGTAGGAGACCCGATGCTGTTGTTTTTCCCTTTCCTGGGTTGGAAAGGTTTAATTTTTCGTTTATCACACTGTAAAAAGTGGTTTGGCGTTGGCTGCAAAAGGAGCCTGCACAGTAGAAAAAGACAGAGGGTGAAATTGATGTTTATTTAAATGAGAGAGGCTGCAATCCTAACCAAGCTTACTAGCAAGTAAGCCCCATTTTGCTTAGTGGGAATTACTTCAGCGTGAACATGCATGGGCTTGCCCTGTCAGGTTAAGTATTTAACAACAAAGGCTGCCGTGTTGAAAGATGGGAGAACGAGTCTATATTACAGTGCTCAGAGTTGGTTTTCTAATGGAACTGCTTAGCTCTGCTAGTATGTATCACTGTTGGAACTCATTCCCATTCTACAATGCTTAATTTTCTAGAGGGAATGAATATTGTCTGGCCAGCACGGTCGTGCTTGCTTAGCCTAACTCCCAGGTGTGTGGGGGGGGGGGTTGCTTGTTAAGTGGCAAGGGAAAGCATTCTGTACATGTTCAGAGACACCCATTATGTGCCCCAATCTTAAAATAGAGCTTACAGGGCCTTGATGAGCCCTGCTTCAAATAAACTTCATTTTCTTCCATTGTAAAGGAAACAAGGGGTGGTTTGCTCTTGTTCTGCAGGTTTTAACTCACATGCTGCTGCAATGCCCAGTGGGTTCATATGGTCAAAAGGGGTGAGGAAAATCTTTCCACGTTTCTGCACCTGATCCCCATGTGCAGTAAGACAAGGTAGTATAAGCAGCTCAAGCTCTGACGTGGTACAATGGACAGCCTTGCATTTTCCCGTCCATACTGTTAGTAGAAAACTAGCAGAGGAATAAAGGTGGGATTTCTCTCCCTGCTATGCCAGTTTTTATTTTAATTTGCAAAGGGTATTTTAAAAAATGGCATACATACCCATCTTTACTCTGAAGTGGTACACTCTTATGTGATTGCCTCATTCTTCTGCAATATATAGACTAGCCCATACGGGAAATCTCATGACTACTTGGGTAAGGTAATAGAGGTCCGAATTTGTTACATTTGCTTAACATTAACATTTGCTGACTAGTTATTTATAGTAAATAGGTATCTGTAGTTGCCAGCAGTAACAGTTGTACTCTGGAGGGATAGCCTTCCTGGTATGGATACAGTATCTCATAAAATAGTGCCTTCATCTAGGCTTTTACCAAACTTAAGGCTGAAAACACATGGGCAGTGCTGAGTAATGAAAATTTCTGAACTGAAATTAATGTAGGAGCAATCAGGGTTTCTTTCCTACCTGCCTTTTATTTTCAGGGCAAGCTGGCTGTGCTCCGATAAGCTAGTACTACTTAACATAAGCAGGAAGCTGTGTCCTTCCCACCTCCCTTCCAGCTATCTGTGGAGAGTGCTGATTGCCACAACAGCTGGCCCATCGCTTTTCATTTGGGCTTGGCTATAGCAACAATGTCCATTTAGGGATGGCACCAAATAAACATTTAGAAATATAAGACATACGGGCATTTGGGGAACTGGCAAAAGCTAAGTTGTGCCTGAAAAGGGGAGTGAGAAGCTGCAAAAATTCATACCGGCCGCAGATTTGTTATGTCAGTGTGGTAGGAGGAAAAACAGGGTTTGCCCCATAGCAGAAAAACCCACTCTCACTCCTGGAGGGAGAAGCATTTGTCTTCATCCTAAATCCCAAGAGGAGTGGGCTAATGCTATGTTCAGCTTGAGTAGTTCCCCAAGCTATATAGAATACAGCTGGTTTCTCAACTATATCGAGGGGCCAAGTAGACTCTTGAGTAAATATGATCAAGGGCACAGTTGCACACCTTTTGAGGATGCTATAACAGGAAAGTGGCATTAGTTATGTGTAGAAGCCACTTTGGCAGTATATAAATTAATTACATAATGACACACATCAAGTAGATAAGGGGTTGAACAGAAGACAGACTTCTGTGTGATTCTAAGAAACAGAACATATCCATAAGGAAATAACAGTATTACGTGGATCTCACAGCTTCAGTGTTAAAAAAGTCATAAGGATTGATGAAGGTAGTTCAAATGACAAGAGGGCAGCTTTCCTATTTTAAACCTGAAACCATGAGTGGTGGTGGGATTTAGCATACACTCACCTCCACCCCAACAACAGCTTTTGCCTGGATGCTTCTGGTAACACATAATCCTGATTATAACTAAAGGGCCTAGCATTGCTAACTAAACACATATCTATCTATCTATCTATGCATTCTTGCTAAGCTACTGTGGAAATACATCAACACAGTTTATCTGCTAAGCATTTCACAGCTTCCCCAGTCTGGTGCTGTTAGCTGCTCCAGCTAACACAGCCATGCGGCTTGCAGGATCAGTTAAGATGACCTGCACTATTAGAAGAGGCACATCATTCTATCAGGGTCCAGTGATAACTGCTATGCTCTTTAGTCTATGGCAGAATCCTTGTGAAGTGTTTTGATGCCCTTGCATGCAACAAGAGAATAAAGGCCAGTTCCAACAGTTTTTTTCCTAGAAAGCAAGTAGAAGGACCACATGGTCAAAAGCAACTCTTGCTTTTTATCAGGCAGGAGTTGCATCTGACATGCAAAAGCAGCATTCTGGAAGGCGTGTGTGTGTGGTTTGCATTACAAAAATACATTGGCCAGGTTTTCCTGCTTTTTTAATCTGAAATACAGAATAAGGGCTAGGAAAAAAACCAGGCTGTTACAGGAGGGTGGATTGCGGTTAAACCTTAGGAGAAACTTCTTTAAAGGTAAGAGCAATCTGACAGTGGAACCAATTGCCTTGAGGGATGCTGGGCTTTTGTTTACTGGATGTCTTTGAGCAGATAGCTATTAGCTGGGAGTGATACAGCTCCAGATTCTCTGCAGTGATGGGGCAATGTTGGGCGAGGTAGCCTGAAATTAGGCAGTTTTAGAGGCTTGCTTCAGCTCACCATGCTTGGTAGGCAACCTGTTGTGCTTCTACAAAGCACTAGGTCAACTTATGATGTTGGGGTGGGGTGGGGTGAGGTGGGAATTTCTAATAAAAACTTGTGTGTTTTTTGTAGGCAAAAGAAAATATAGGTAACTTACTCTTGTCTTTGTCCTCTCCAAAAGATGGGGGTGTAATAAGCACTGATTTTTACCTGTTCTCTACTCCTCATAAAAGAGGTTGATGGCTAGGTTGTACTTGGGAGAAAATGGAGAAGTCTGTTTAGGGGTGTATAAATCCCATGTTGATCATTGTGGGGTAGTTTCCCACAGTTGGGCTCCTTACAATAATTTATGTAGATAGGCTTCTCTGCTCTATTAGTTGCATGGAAAGAAAGGATGTGTTTAACAGACCCTAAGTGCAACAAAGTGATTAAAAATCTAGAGTGACCAAATGAACATTCAGTGAGCTTATGAATGAATGCATTTGGAAAAGCATGAAACTTTTCCTGGTCTTAGGGTCTACTCAAAGCCACACCAAGCAAAGAGTCAACAGTTGAAGAATGCTGGTGAGTCATGCACATAATGGCTTCATGACCACTGTAGGCATTTCATGCTTGTGTCAGCTCCCTGACCAGTAGCAAGGTGCTCAGATGGCATTTGCAAGGCGGCAGCAAGTAGGAGGCACCTTCCAAAGCATGACTTCTTTGCCCACTCCCTTTACTTTTGACCTGGCCTGTTGTACTCTGTAAAGCACCATGCACACTGATGGTGCTGTATTAATAATAATGATTCTCCTATGAAAACAGTTATGTACAAAGTGTGCTTGGATTTGTATCTAAGACTGTATGTAGCCTGTTGCAAATGCTGCACTGTTCCGTTCCTTATTTTCTATCTCTGGATTGTAATTTATGCCTATGCAAAAGAAACTCAAGACAATAAACAATTTTTTTAAAAAAGGTGAAGCTGACCATTGGTGAAGAGGGGACACTTTTTGGCCAGGGTGAAGGCTAGAAGCATTAGCGAGAAGAGACTATGCTGTAAATAAGCTGCATTGGAGCTGTTGTCACTGTCGTCCACATTTCTGTTCCTTCTGCCTGAGGTTTTTAGTCCACTGCTTTCCCCGGGAAACCCCACTGTTTGATGCTTGTTCCAATTCAGCAGTAATCTGCAGAAAACTTGATTGACATTTGTTCCAATTCAGTGATACACAGCAGGTTTTCCCAGGGAAAGCAGTGGGACTGAAGAAAAACCTCTCAGACAGGAGGTACAGAAGTGTGGATGAGCCCTCAGTCAGTGCACATTCAAACTCAACATTATGAAGCCAATTAGAGGGGGGAAAGGAGGGTGGGCAAGGAGAAATCCCCCCTTGTGTGTTGTTTACATTCTAAGCCTGCAGGCAGAAACTGTCCTGTTTCAATTGATTGTATGTAAGCTGCTCTGGGAGCCTTTTTTGACTGAAGAGTGGATACAAATGCTCTTGTAAAATTCAGCCAATGCCCTTATTTTTAATTGCAGCAATTTTGATGAATCGAACAAAAGCCTGGCTCTCTTATCTGTGCCTAGATGGGAAACAGAACAGGGTTCACGACTGCAGAGACGTTTGCGGGTTCTAGCCCCTTTCCAACATAGTTGTATTTTGCAACTACTGCAGACCACTAACTTGGGAGACTTTGGTAATTTAAACACTATAAAAATGCAATAAATAAGCAAGTGGGACAGCTGAGTTCCAACTGCATTGCCTCCTGGTCCATTGCAAACTACCATTCAATATATTTTGCTACTTAAGTTTAAAGTACAATTTAAGCCACTCTGAAAACCGCTCCACTTATAAGAGCAGGGTACAAGTACTGAAAACAGAAGTGTAAAAAATTAAAACCTACCATTCCAACATATTTACTAAATTAAGTTCAGCAGATGCACCTTCTCACAAGGAGGGAGGATGCTACAACTAATGACGTTTCCCCATGTGTCACTATTAAGAGAGAAGCCCTTTCCTCCTATTAAAAATTTGGCAATACCTTTCGGCTTGTGCTTAGGTGCTGAAGTTCACTGGTATACTGCCCGGTTGCCAACTTTTATTGCTTTGCCTTTAACAGCTGCACGAATAGCAGGAATTCAGCAGACGGGAGCTAGCATGATTGAAATGCAGTGGTTAGAATGTCAGATAAGGACTAGGACTGGGGAAGACACTGGTTCAAACCCCCACATGGCCATATAAAGCTTACCAAGTGACCTTTGGTCTCTGCACCTCACCTACTTCATAGTGTCATAGTGTACACTGCTCCCCAACCTTGAGCTGCTTGGAGAAAAAATAAGGGGAAAATGTAAAATACCTATTGCCAACACCAGAGGGTACAAAGTTCACGTGCACTGGAATATGTAGATGCTGTTCACCTGAATATTACACTGATAAACTACCTCCCTCCTTAAAGTTTTGTACTCTTGTCAATAATAGCAAAAAATATATATAATGAAAGTAGGGGCTCATTTTGCATACAGTGAGCAAAATGACCCTTCTCTTGTGGTCAGCACTACTGACACCCCTGACTAGGCACAAAAACCAAGGTGTGTTCCTAGCCCAGGAGAGCAGCCAGCCCTGATCTCAAGGAGTAGCTTCAGCTTTGCATGATGCCTGCTTGAAAACATCTAAGCCTCCCCTCTGACACATGCAGATTCAGAGGTACCAACACAGTCACTGCTTCATTCCCTCTACAGTTGTAAGAACTGAAACATCAAAGCCATTTAATTTTAAAACTTTAAACAAACCTTTCTTTTTATTATTATTATTACATCATGCCAGCCTCAGTAGTCTTTAAATGCTGGTCACAAAACAGAACACAGCACCATGTGGCTTTTTTTTTTATAATGAAAACTTCAGCACTGCACATTCCTCTTTCAGAACTAAGGAATGAAAGGAGAAGAAAAAATAAAAAGGACACCACACCAAGGTCTCCACTTCCCTTGGAAATAGAAGGCCATGAGGTGGATGTCGCTACCGGGCGCCCAAGGCACCAAGTGATACAGGCTGCCGTCTTCCTTTAGCCACAGCACGCTCCATTCTCTCCCCAAGGGTGCTATTAATACTGTCACTGCTTAGGATGCTGCCCACAAAGTTTGAGGCAAGAAAGTAGACCATAAGCCATGCCTACCCACTCATCAGTGTTCACTCTTAGCTTCCGGGAAACTCCAGCCATTCAAAAATGTTAGGATGATGTTGCAGACAGCAATATGAGAGACATGGGGAGAGACTTTAAAAGCTACAAACCAGTGAACTACAAACCTGGTTTTTGTTTTTAAACAAAAACATGATGCCAGTTAAAAGTCAATTCAGAATAAGTGCCTCAAAAAGAAGCAGCAAATGTGTATCAAAGTTATAAAATCCTGAACATGTGTCCAAATTTAAAAGCACAGCTCAGAGCTGGCTCCGGTAAACCTCTTCCTGCTTTTACACAGTGAGTGTGTCTAAACCCACGACAGTTATGATTCTGAGGAGAGGCTGAAATGAGGGGTGCAAGCTGGCTTCTAGACACTAAGAGGCCCATGCCCACTTACAGGCAGCAACACCCATTTCCCTAATGAGGAGAAATGAATTCTTGCATTACACAAATATGCAGGGAGAAGTCGCCCACTGACAGTGTCAGTTCTTGAGGAGGGGAAGGAAACACTGCCTTTAAAGATACACCTAGATACCACAGGGAAGAAATGGGTGAGTCCGAAGAAGCCAACTTGCAATGTCTCTCCCTTTCCCCAATCTGACGTAGCTGGTTAGAAAACCAGATATGGCAGGGTTCAGAATATGCAGGCACCCATGACTGACTTCAAGAAAAATAGTAGGTTTTGAACACAAGGCCCAAAAAGGATTGTGTGAAATCAATTTGTTGACTTTACACCAAAGCCACCAGTGCTTTTGTGGCCTGCTCCACCTCCTCCCACAAGTCTCGCTTTTAAAGTAAGCTTACAAGTGCATAATTATGAGATCTAGGATCTCATATCAATCCAGCTTTTGGGATGCTGCTGGAGTGTGTGTGTGTGTGTGTGTGTGTGTTCCTTCATGTCGATTACCAATTGCAGGCATTGGTACTTTAAACTAAAGGAGGCCGCCCAGGGCTCACGCAGTTTGACTGGTGTGAAAGGGGGGGAATTCCTACCTCTTCCGAACCAACTAGCATATTCATACTTGTATGAATGGGATTTCAGGAATTCTTGATTGCAGACCACAGACACAGGGTCAGTTTCAAAAATATATATATGACAGGGTGGGGAAGAGGAGGCAGTTACTTTACTCTGTATACCTAGATCCTCCCGATTCTTCATCCGCACGCATACCACACACAAACATCCACCATAATAAAAACTAATAAAAAATCATGACTAAGAGCTCACGATGTACAAAATGTTTGGGCGGGGGGGGGGGTAAAAAGGGAGAAGGCGGCAGCTGGTCAGTCCCACGTGTGCTTTTGTCACCTTCGTTAGCTTAAACTGTAAACCCTGTGTCCCCCCGGTGGCTCCTCTCCAGGAGGGGAGGAGGAGGAGAAGTTCCACAGTAGCAGATCAGCTGGGATGGATTTTGGTTAGGCTGCTCTGGGTTTTTGGGTTGAAGAAGGGGAGGGTGCGAATTCCGCAGTGATTAAAAACGATGTTCAGCAGCCACCAGCAGGAGTCACAATAGCCCCTTGAGACTTCACTTTATGGCGCTGCCCTCCACGTCGGCGGCCACCTCCTCCAGTCTTCACCTGGGGGTAGATAAAAAGAGCGCTCAGGTAAGGGCAAGGTGGGGAAGGCAGGATCTGAACCTCTCAGCCCTAAACTGAACAAGAGGAGCGGGAATGGACAGTGTCAACCAACCGTATCCAGAAGTAAAAGGCAAGGGTGGGGAACCCGTGGTCCCCCAGATGATGTTTGACTCATGGCAAAGTATGCTGGAAGTTATAGTCCAACATCTGGAGTGCCACTGGTCTCCCATCCCTGGGGGGAGGAAAGAAGTGAAGTTGTCTTTGTCCTTTCTGGTCCTATGAGCACCTTTGCAATAGGCCAGGCTTCTACCAAAGCAAGCAGGAATTCTAAAAGGAAAATGGTAAGACTTTGGAGGGGAGGGGGATGTCTTGCAAGGGTGGCCTTGTCTCCCCAAGGCAATCAAGTCAAAGCAACAGAGGATGCAGAAGTACCTTGCTGCCCTCTCGGTTGTGGGGCTCTTCATCCAGGGCAGGCTGAAGGAAAGCAGCAAGGAAAGAGAAGCATAGGTGAGCAGAAGGCAGCAGACATCCAAGATGTTGGACAAAGATCAGCAGAGGGGAGAGCAGTCCCTTAAAAACTGCCACCAAGTGAGCACAGCAAGAGAGGAAACAAAGCACCAGTGATATAGACAGAGGCTATGACAGACTTTGCCCCCCCCCCAGACAAACTTTGGAGAAGAGAGTACAGCAAGGGCACCAAGAAGCCACATTTACACCCAAGATGCAAAGCAAGAAAGCAGCTCAGATTCTTTCAGTCTGATTTTTAGAGGGCACCTTGTAACATATGTATAGAAGAGCATTTCTTTGCTACAATTATCATCGTAGCTGATGCTTGCAATTGCAGCATTTAAACCTCACCCCTCCAGTTTCAGGAGTCTCAGAATAATGCCAACACACACTTAAAATACAGCAAAGTGAAAAACAAAAGAGCAAAGGAGCTGAGACTAAGATTTCACTTCAGCAGAAAGAACTTCATTTCAAAGGTTCATCAGCCAGATGCCCCATGAAACAGCTCTGTCATTGGTCAAGGAGGTCCTTCTACAGCATGTGCACAACTGCGCAAGAGGTCCTTCTCTGAGCTCTACATGTCCTTACCGCACACAGCAAAGACATGCACAAGGAAAGCCCAACCGATAAGCTGCAGAACAGCAGCAGGGCTCCAATGGGGAAAGTTAACAATACGGTTATGGGCAAGCAGGGGCAACTGCCCAGGGCCTCACGCCAGGCCAGGCCTGCTGTTTCTGCCCACTTGGCAAGGTTCTCACCATCCTCCCTTCCTAAAGCCACTTCACAGCCAGCCACTCACTAGTATTCAGGCACAGGACTAGGAGATAGCAGGTGAAATCTGGCTCACCTTAAAAGGTAGGCATGTTTACTACAAAAACCTTAAGAAGCCATGAAAGATAACTTTGGAATAGGAGGGAGGGCACAGGCTGTTCTGCATACCTGAGGCTGTTGGGCACTCGAAGGTGCTGAGGGGGCTGCTCCCAGCGAAACCGCGTCATCTGCCACTGTGGGACTCGCCGTCGCCATGCCAGCCTGGGCTCCCCCTTCCTCTCGCTTGGTCAGGGGCCCCTTTTTTGTGGACTGCATCTTGATCTGCTGAGGCTTGGAGTTCATTGGAGAGTTATTTGTGGTCTGGAGTAACTGCCAGTCGAAAGGATGGTAGAGGCAAAAAAACAGAATTGTGCTTGTGTTGTTGCTTTCATTTTAACCACAGAGTTGGTTTAAGCAAAGTTCACCTTTGACATTAAACAGGACTTCAATATGTGGAAAGAAAATGCTCTTCCCCAGGGAGGCTCACCTGGCACCTTCATGACACATATTTAAGCGCTAAGGAAAACCATTCCTCTTATTCCGCTAATTAAACATTTTATGGCCTTTTGAACTGGTTTGTGCGTATGTATTGTTTTGTTTGTTACAATGTTGTGTATCTTTGTGTTTTTATATTGTAAACTGCCCTGTGATCCCAAGATGAAGGGCGGTATAAATTTAATAAATAAAATAGAAGGACTGAGAATGGTGCATGCACACAGCAACACACCAAATCTCATTCACCCCCGCACAGCTCTCTTTATCTCCCACTTCCCCTGCAGTGGGAAGGGAAGTGACAACAATTTCCTCTCTGTTCTTTAAGCACTTTTCTGTTTCATGTCTCTTATTACCTGCAGTAGGGCAGGTAGGTAAAGCAGAGGTGTGATAACAACATCTAAGCCTCGCTGGGCCATGCGCCAAGTCAGGATGAAAATAGTCTCCTTTCATTATTATTTTTAACCCAGGTCATGCATGACACCGCTTTCTGTCAACAACCAGGTCCCACAAAGTTCCCAAGATCTTTAAAAAAAAGTAATTTATAGAGATGGGAAGAAACAACTTGAATGCCAAGCAACTTGCCCTTCACCCAGAAAGGAAGCAAGGCCTTCACAGCACAGACTAGGTGGCCAGGCTGGCAGAAAAGTTTGGCAAGTATTAAAAAAACTTGGCCATTTGAGAAACATATGGTTTAAAGGGGGGAGCACAGATGAGCAATAATCCCCATTCAGTAAGGGAATACAGGAATTAGTGGAAGAGAAAGAAAGCTTGTTCTGTCTAGCAGGGTTATATGCAAGTCTGGGTTTAAGGTTGGGGTTTTTGTTGTTGTTTTTAAATCAACTAGCAATACTCACTCCTATCCTAAAGACAGGGAAAAAGGAAAAGGAAAAGGAGAACAGAGCCACTAGTGCATATGACATGGTTTCAAGGAAGGTATGAAAATTCTGATAAACCAAGCAACTTCCCCATCATCATCTATCAAGAAGCTAGGGTTTTCAGTAACTAACTAGAGGGAAGGGAGGTGTCTGTAGTACTGTACCTATGGCATGCACAAACTTTGAGAACCTATGTCCTATTGTACCCCAAAAGCTCTATTACCTTGGTGATGGTACCCACAGCTTTGGTACGCCCTTCACGGAAAACCAGCCGCTGGTCTATGTGCAGGTACTCCGGGGTCTTGATGAAGCGGAAGTGCACGGTCGCCTTGTCTCCTGTGCGTAGACAGTCTTTGTCCATACTGAGGATAGTGGCTGTCTGGCGGATGCTGCCACAATGCACTGTGAACAGTAAGATTCTCACTGGCACTCAAACTGCAACAAGCGGACAAATCTCAGTAGCACAGGATACCCTGAACTGCCACCAGCTATGCTGCTGCATGCAAATGCCGCTAAATTCACAATACAAACACCTTACGAATCCATGTTTGTCATCAGGTACTGTATATTCAATTTCCAGCGGAGAGGCAACGTCAGAAGATAATCTACATACCACTAATCTGCTCAGCAAGCCAGCCCTACCTCATAACTTCTATAGGGAAGGCTACAGAGGCCAAGTGCAATTCTTCTATAGCTATCCACTGAACCCACAGCTCAAGTGGGATTTTGATGAAGGTGCAAGTCAAGCGCCCCTGGTGACAGATCCCATAAGAGCCTTCTATCACTTCCCAAATTTGATCCACAAGGAATTGCTTTCTCTTTCAGCCATCCTCTTGTGGTTGCTGCTCCTCGTAAATTTGTTGGTATCAGAGCTTAAATGACGCAACCACAAATTAATTCAATACCCAGGGCCAAGGCAGGAGGAGTGTGTAAGGGATACAAAAAAACCCTACACATACCCATCGCCTGATAACGTGGACTGATGGTGGTAGGATGATGCAGAACCAGAATCTCAGCTTCAAATTCCCAAGACGCTTGAGGATTTAATCGGGGAGACACCATCACCATGCCTTTCCGGATAGAGGAGCGCTTGATCTGGAAGTGCAACAATTTTAAAGCATAATTTAGTAATTAATTCACTTAGGCTGATTTTTTTAAAAGAAGAAATCTATATATTTTCCTAGCATTTTACAGATGAAAGACTAGATAAGACTATTTTGGGATGGAATGGGATGCCCATCCAGCTGAACATACTGCTGAGCATGAGTTTTACAAAGGTGTTGGGAGAAACATGAGAATGAAATAATTTCAAAAGAAAAAAACTTCACGGGATGGTTTTGGTCAGCACAAAATTGCTATCCTTAAGGGATGTTATCAGATTTTCCTACACGCTGTCCTTCCTTCATCCCCTATGAGGACAAACTTCAGTCACAGACACACTTGTGTTGCCTAAATGATGCAGAAATTACAAATGTCCATCCTTCATGGATGTAGAGAAGTTGGGATGCAATAGTGAAAGTATTCCTTTGGCTTTCTCTCTGCCAAACAAACGACTCACTTAAAAGCACAATGTCCACTGCTGCCTTTAGACAAGTTTAGTCCTAGCATGCCTTTGCAATATTAGACCCTGCAAATAAAACCTGCTCTCAGCTCCATATATTAAGCCTGAGAAGTTGCAATGCTAAAAACAATGACTAGGGAGAAAACCACATCTGAATGCAGGAGGACTTGGTACCATTGCCCAAGGATGAAGACAGATGTGATTAACAGCTGGATTTCATATGTCCCAAACATGAAGTACCAGCCACCATATGTTTCTCCTCAGCAGTTCTCGGTGCAACAGGAAATCAACCAAGCACCTAACAGAACCCCATCTGATTGTCCGCTATCTCCTCCCACATTCTACCTTAAAACTGACGAAATGACACCATTAAGGCAGCTCAAAAACCAGCCCTAATATTCTCTTTCCCCACAACCCTATTTTATTTCCCATCTAGTCTGATGAAGATTTCTACAGAACTTAAATGCTTGCATGTTATTTTATAGCATTAGGGATTGCCCTCATGTAGATTTTGGGACTTTTTCTTATGGCCCAACGCCACTAGCTTTACTTTTTGTGCAGTCTCAAAGTAAACATTCTCATAACTGCACTGGCAGTTTCCCAAAAAACCCTCATTTTCTCCCAGCAGAAAAGCAATGGAATACCCTTGGCCAATGAAGTCCACACTCACCTTCTTCAGAGCAAAGGAGGCAGTCTGTCCTCCTCGAACCTCTTTGACGGGCATGCGCTTGCGGTGGATGGACTTCACAGCAATGGGCAAGAAGTTACCCAGAGGGTCTGGGCCGAGCAGCAAGGTGTCATTTAACTTGATCAGGCCTCTTAGTGTTGTCCCAGACACCACTGTCCCTACACCCTGCATCAGGGAGAAGTGCAAAAGGCAAATGAATTAGTCACAATGGTAGAGCAACAGCAGAATCAAGCCAACATCCCCATTCCTTCCTCCTCTTGGAAAAAAATTAGACTGAAGTGAGACTCTCAGCACCACTCTCCTTACTGGAACAGAGTAAGTGTCATCTATCTGGAATTCTGCAGGTTCCTCTTCCCTGTAACTGGTCCTTGGAGACAGGAGATTGAGAAACATCTTAAGCAATTCCAGGTTCTCACCGGTGACATTGGAAATCTGGAATATTGGGCACATCCTAATTGGAACAGAGAGAAAGAGAGAGAATAAGAACATATGAGTTATTCACAGTTCTAAGTTAGGTTGATCTTAATACTTGCAAGACATCACAGGTGCTGGTTGGCATGCTCAGTATCGGAAGGAAAATTCCCTACAGGAAAGTACTAGCTGTAGTAATCTTAACACTAGCGACATTCAGTTAAATAACTTTATATCTACTTCTGTTTTTTCTGGGATGGCAGCAAAAGTGCCCACTCAACTGGAGAGTCATCTTGCATGGTCAGCTTCCTTTTAGATCACACGCTCTAGTTAGATCAGATGTAATATTTACATTTTTAGCTTCTACAACTTTACTCTCTTTCCCTCTCTCATCAGCAGTTGGGACCAAGCCATTAAGAGAATGGTCCAGCAGACATGCCAACCATCATCAGTTGTCCAGGATATTTCAAGAAAAGGACAGACCTAACACAATGCTAGCTGCCAACCTCATGCAACTGTTCACTTCCTTCATTTATCCCAGCTTTCCAGTATGGCTTATCTTCTGATCCATACACATGGCATCCACATTCTGCGGCAGCGGCGGGGAGGGTGTCTCATGCAATAGATCAGCAGCAGACTCCTGGCCAGACTTCTTGCAAGGCCATTCGCTTCAGCCTCTACACACAAGCAGGGCCATTCATTTTCTGCTCCTAGCCATCACCCCCCATCCTCCTAAGTCCTCTGCTTGCTTTCATCCTTGCACCAACTGTGGATGCCAGAAATGGATTCAAAGCAACAGAGACAACTCCACATGGTTTCATTAGAATTTGACCTTGGCATTTCCCACTCACTGGCAAGAAAAACAAACTAATATATGTGGCAAGAAGAAAGATGATTCCTGAAGTCCATTTTAACTCCATTCCTGGCCATTTCTACCATCCATCTTCACTTCTTCGCATGCATTTCTTGCCCAGAAACCTGGATAATCTGTTTTGAACCTGCCCAACAGAGCTAAAGGTGCAGATCCCACCAATTCAGGATCCTTGCTATTTAAGCCTGTAAACATATTCCACATCTCTGTTACAAATTCCTTATACTGCAACTAGAAAAGACCTGTTTGTGCTCCCAACCAATTATCATCCCAGAAGAGTCTTGGGGTCAAAGTTCAAAGCCCATGTTCTAAGGAGACAAAGAGTGGTCCACTTTGTTTTCATTTCTGTCACCTTTCTGAGCTGAAGTTGGAGGCAGTAACGATGACATCATCTTTGCTCTGGACCAGGACAGGGATCTTTCTGCATCCTGGGGACTTCAGAAGTCGTTGCAACAGCTTCAGGGTTTCTTGATGAATAAAATGGAGAGGATTAGATCAATATGCCCTTTCTTGCATTCAGCTTTAGTGCCTTAGTTTATTTACCTAATTTTAAGACCTTCTAAGAAACGGACCTTATTACAGTGGCACCTCTGGTTACGAACGGGATCCGTTCCGGAGGCCTGGCTGTATTCCGAAAATTTCGTAACCGGAGGACCGCTTCTGCGCATGCATGCAGCGGCGCAAAGCGCTTCTGCGCAAAGAGTGCTTCTGCGCACACGCAAGTGCCAAACCCACTTCCGGGTTTGCCGTGTTCGCAGCCTGAAAATTACGTTACCCGAAGTTAACGTAACCCGAGGGTCCACTGTATGTCCTCATATGTAAAACCACAGAATTCAGAGAGGGTGTACTTTCTTTGCCCCAAGTTTGTATGTATGTGTGAGCAAGCTGGGATATCGTTACAGATTTTAAATTTAAAAGGAAAGCTATTTAAGTATCAAGAACATATAAGAGAACATGCAGGAGTCTTTGACACAAAAGGGTTAGTGAAATTGGGCTTTAGAGGTTGTAATATGGGGCTTCTTGTGCCCTTAACAGATCTTTTCTCTGTCCATGTCTGGATGTTGACCACATTGACAAACCTTCCCCAGTCTGACACCTCCAGATTTCTGGATTACCACCCCCCCATTATGGACCATTGGCCATATCAACCAAGGATTATGGGAGCCATAGTAAATGCATCTGGTGGGCACCAGGATATTGATCTGAAAAACAAGCCAGCTATTACAGCTAGTACGTATTGAATTTCCACTGCTATTCTAATTGTAGAAGTTGTCAAGCTAAGCCTCAGAGCGAGAATTAAGTTCAGTATTGCTACTAAGAAGCTATCAAAACATTACATACAATCCAGAAATTTGCATAGGCTTTTCTGTACTACACATCCTGTTTCAATTTCAGGAAGCCTGCAGGGAAACCATGGAATATTATGACTGGAAGGCTATCGTTTTCACAAGAAAGACTAGGATGTGTTTTTTGCTTGAGAATTGGTGGTTTCATTTTGTTTGTTTACAAAGCTAGCAGTGCTACCAGAGCTTTGAAAAGATGTCCAATTCTAGCCAAACCTTTGTCTCAAAATTTGCCCCTGGCGGTGGATTCCATGTCTAATTGCATGTTGTGCTAGATGCTCCTCTAAGACGAGAGCTTGTCTTTGCCAGAATAAACCGATTTCCCCACAAATGCTTACTGTTATGATGAGGAGTGAAAAACAAGATGTGCACATGAAAGATGGGTGCCAAGATATATGCAACATCACGTACACATTTTAAAAGCGCACACCGAATGCTAGGTCCACCTGACCAATTCTCAAATTTCCATTTTCTACCACAGTGCTAGCTGCACATTGCAGAGGTTCCTCGGTCATCTTATGCAGCAAGTAACAGAAAAGCCAATAACTGCAGTACCAGAAAAACAGGGGCCTCTTGAACAGGAGCCCGCACATTTTGAATGAGCTTGGTAGCAAACCATTTGCTCTCTCGCTTTCCACTGTGTAGTCCCAAAGTGCATTCCTTTTCTATCTGATGCCCAGCATCTGCCACTAGTGATCATCTTTGTGGACCTCTTTTTTTGGAAGTGGATAATTACATACAAGGGAAAAGGCAATAATATTTCCTAAGCACTCATTTTGGTTGCACAGTTTATGGCTATTGGTGACAATAGCTAAACGGTTTCTCAGTGTTCAGGGATATCGTGTAACTGAACATCAGTTGCGGGAGGAGAAACAGCAGGAAAGAGTTGCTGCTTTTGTTTCAGGAAGCACCGTGTTGGGCCCTGTGGGGAACAGGCTACACTAGTTGGTTCTTTCATGACCCTAAGAACCAGGAAGTGAACAGATGCAAAAAGTCTAACTCTCAGCTGCCTTCTCTTTCCCATAATCTTATTTACAGCAGTTGGGGAAGAACACAAATCAAAACATTGCTTTTGAGCAGCTTCACTGTTGCAAAACAGTTGTTTTAGAACTGCTGATATGACAGTTTTAAGAGACCAGCTACAGAGGGGGGGGGGGAGAATTGTATGTCAAATAAGTCTCAACGAGTAAGAAGCAATGCAGGCCAGGAATTGGAGATGGCTAGAAAGAAGAGTTTGCTTAAACGGCTCCTTAATAGAGTCTGAAGACACACTACCAAAACAGATGGCAAACACTTCACAGGAGAGAGAAGCTGTTTGCGCCATCTTCAGTTTATTTTATTTATATACCACCCTTCACCCCACAATCACAGGGCAGTTTACAGGCAAATACCTTGGAGAATGTTGGCAGGACACATGTCAATCTTGGTCACCACCACAAAGACTGGGACGTTGAGCGCCAATGCAAGGCCCAGGTGCTCCTTGGTCATCCCAACAATTCCTGCATTGCTGCCAACCTGTATCAAGGAAAAGCACAATGAAGTGGGGAGTGGGGGAGGCAGGCAGAATTTTAAGTCTCTGTCTAGATATACGGCTGCGACTTTGCTGGGCAGCGTAATGCAGACACGCCACAAGAGAAAGGCAAGAGGTCAATTTTTAATAAATTATGAGAGCAATGGTTCTATCTAATACTGTTGTCCCACTAGCGTAACAGACTTCTATTTGGGCAACGGGGCTTCTCTTTCCTCTCCTCCCAATTCAGCCCCCTTGTACAGCTTCAAAACCTGCTCCAGACGGTTGCGGGAGTTCTGCTCACACAGCACTGGACAGAAACCCAGTGCTCTTACAATAAAGTAAGAGCTAATTCAGACATTAGCACTTGCCACTCTTGGAATAACGTTTCTGGTATGTTCCATGGTGTGCAAAGTAAACCAGAAAGGCTTGTTTCCTACTGCTTCACCAGGATAATGTCAAGAACAGATGGAAGAGGAATCCTGGGTCCTATTCCCAGAATCCTCTCAGGAAGAGCCACGGTGGAATAAGCTATCAACTAAACTTTTCCCAGTTCATGCCAATCACAAAATCACTTTTAAAAAACCATTGCATTTGCAGGTGACATTGTGTTAGAGCTAGCCTTCTTGTGGGTGCATGCCCACTACCTCCTTCTCCGAGCATTGCCAAGAATGGCTAGTATAGTCTGCTCCAAAATAAGTGTCATAACTAGAACTCTACTTCTCTGTTTTGATGTAGGGAAGCCAGTGACGCTGTTCCGATGATGTTCCCAGCCTCCCTGGCTTATGAAGTCAGGGACTAGCATTGGGGCCAAGCACTCCTCCCTAACTCTTCTTCCTCACATCACATGCCAGCTTCACCACAAAGCTCCTGGCTTGTATCAAGCCAGAATTCTCAATTACAGCCAACCCCCGATTTGTGGGGGGGTTATGTTCCGGGTCATTGCAAGCTTGCATGAAATCACATGCAATGGAAACGCCCTGCCCCCCCCCTTTTGATGACATGTTTCCTGGTCACTCCCAGGGCTGGTACTGTGTGCATGTGCACGGTCGCACACATATAGGTCGTGCCTAAAATGGGTGTTCCTCGTACCCCAAACTGGGGAACTCTGGTTTAATGCCAATTAACAAAACTGGAAAATAATCTAGCATCACAATCTAGAGATAGGAAACCTGTGACCTTCCAGATGCTCTTGAACTCCAACTCTCATCATCACCACTAGTGATGTTAAATTCTCGAGAATAATCTTTTGGAGAATATTCTCGAGAATATTCTTGATTAATGAAAATATTGTACCATTGAATGAAATTGCAAAAACCAGTTACTGGCACTGGATAAAAATATAGAAAAGTCAGCTGTTTAAATCAAGGCCACCTCACATGCTGTTACACATAATTGTATAGGCCTAGGTACTTTTAAGTGTAGAAAGCATTAAAACTACTTTCTGTAAAAAAAAAAAAAATAAATCACACTTATTCACACTTATGGCCAAGGGTATAGAATTGCTAAGAATAAGGTCACACCAAAATAGAAAAAAGGCTATTACAAATAGTTGAAATACATACAAATGCAAATGTTCATAAAATTAAATGAATAGCATTTTTAAAACTAAAAAAAGGAAAAAAAAGGTTTCCTGTAGCTCACATTTCAGAACTGCCAATGGTGAATGACACAATGCCCAGTAATGTAACTGGATCAAAAAAATCATTATTCATTATTTACACTGGCAATATCGCAGCTTGACTTATTATTTACTAGATTTTTTTAATGTGGGTTGTAAAACTGGTTCTTACATTAGAATTTACAGTTCATGGAAAATATTCCCCAGAGAATTTTCTAGCAGAGAATATTGTCAAAAATATTCTCATTCTTGAGAATATTGTCTGGAGAACCTCACCTCACTAATCACCACCCACCAACCTTGCTGGCTAGGGCGAATGGACTTGGGAATCTAACAACATCTGGAGGGCCACAGGTTTTCCTTTTCTTGACATATACCATGGTTGATGAACCTGGGAACAATGTCCCAACTGAGCCACTATCTCAGAGTGTATCAGCTACCCCTTAATGTCATTCTGCAAGCATGTCATCAAGTGGCAGGCTGTGCCTCTTATTGATAAGAAAGGTTGATATGGGATACTGACCCATGAACAGAAAACTAAGCTAAAGAATTTCTATACCACTTAATCTCCTCAGAAGGAAGCACCTGTCTGTTTAGACTACCGTACTTGCCAATAAATCTGAGAATTCTTTGTTTATGTGACTGAAGCACACACACTCCAAAACCAACACAGGAATGTGCCACAGTGGGAAGTGGGAGGAAGAGTTTGCTTCTCATGGTTGCGGAAATAAATCCACTGACACAGATAGAACCTGAGACAAGTTGTGTTAAGCCACTATGGCAGAATTAGGTGTCCTTACAGTGCAGAAAAAATCTTTGTTGTTGCTGCTGCTGCTGGGAGAGTAGGGGAGACCAGCAAGGACAAATGTCAAATTAAGTTCTGGAAATAGGTACCGAACCTTGAATGCTTTGCACACATATCTTTGACACCCTGACACATGGGCAGGGGGCACTTCAGAAAGAACTTTTCTGAACTTCATGGTGTTTTTGCTTAGAGCATTTACTTATGTAGAAGCTTGCACCCGTATCTGATGCATGAGCATGAATGGAGAACTCAGTTCAATCCTTAACATAGGCCATAAATCACCCTCAGATAGGCAAAAGAGGAACATGGTGAACCGCAAGAAACAGTCCTCCAAGCAGTTTGTTCCCAACCTTGAAGCCTCCAACATTCTATGGTAGGAAATCACCACTTACTGAGAGTGACATGGCCCACGGCTCCAACTAATTTTTGAGCTCCTGTTCACAATAACAGTGAGAATTCTAGCCTATATTGTTTTCATTAATTCCTTAACTCTCCAACAAAAAAGATGGGAAAGTGCTGTGGATGTTAAGAGCCCCTTGCTGCTACTGACATCCCACCACCATGGCACAGCTTACCATTAGCATGCAGAAGTCAGGTAGGTGCCCAGTCATGCCAAAGACTGTAGTCTTCAGGTACTTCTCGTGCCCAGCCAGGTCAATGAAGGTTATGACCTTTGTTGACTTCTCACAAATCTTAGTCCACTCCAGACTTCCACCATGGCTATCGGGCTTGTTCACTACATTGCCCTCACTGTCAAAGCCCAATATGTCATTGCCCACGCTGCTAGTACGGCCCGATTCGATCTCGTGCTTGTGGCGGAAAAGCTTTTGCCGGGCAAAGCCACGTCCATTGTCCAGCTCACCATGGGTGAGGACGCCCAGCAGCGTGCTCTTCCCTGCGTCCACATTGCCAACCACAGCTACCCTGTAGGAAGGCAAAAGGAAGCCATCAGAATGTCATCGGTCATGTGCAATCTCTGAAATAAACCCTTTATTATTATTTTTTGCAAATTAAATTTTTATTGATTTTCAGTACACATATATACATTCATAAATTACACATATAAAGGTTACATATTTAATTTAGGCTCTATCATGCCTCTGACTTCCCTCCATTTCTTTGGTAAGTATCAAATAAAGTTCTAATATCACGTACTCTATATATCTTATTATCAACTACACGCTGTAAGAGTTATTCCAACCCTACCAGTGTCTTCAAAGATTTACAATTGTTTCTTATATACATCAAATATTTACTCCAATTTTCTTGAAACTTCTGCTCATCCTGATCTCTTAATTTTCCTGATAGTCTGGCCAGTTCTGCGTAATCCATCATTTTAACCTGCCAGTCCATTATATTCGGTATTATGTCTGTTTTCCAATTCTGAGCTAACATATTTCTGGCTGCTGTCGTGGCATATAAAAAGAGGTTTTTATCTTTTTTTTCAATTTCCTTTCCAATCAATCCCAATAGAAAAGCTTCAGGTCTTTTTGGGAAAGAATATTTAAAGATTTTTTAAAGTTCGTTATAGATTAGTTCCCAAAAGCCCTTCACTTTACTACAGGTCCACCACATATGGTAGAGGTCACCCTCTACCTCTCCACACTTCCAACATTTCTTATTTTTTGTTCTATACATCCTTGCTAGCTTTACCGGCGTTAGATGCCATCTGTAGATCATTTTCCACAAATTCTCTTTTAAAGCAGTACAAGCCGTAAATTTCATGTTTACATTCCATAGTTCTTGCCACGCATCAAAATCGATACTATGGCCGAAATCAATAAACCCTTTAAAAATGAGCAAAAGACGGGACCTATGGGGTTTCATAGAATTTTAGAGCTGGAAGGGACCCTGAGGGTCATCTATTCCAACCCCCTGCAATGCAGGAATAGGAAGCTGTCCCGTACAGGGATCAAACTTGCCACCTTGACATTATAAGCACCATGCTCTAACCAACTGAGCTATCCAGGCTTACACATAGCACATAGAGGGCAAAAACCTACAACAGCAATCCTTTCATTCAGATACTGCTTGATCAGCCAAGTATGTGCGCAAGATCCTAACCACTGGCTTGTATACAAAGCACAGAGGAAAGGAAAGTTAATTAGTAAGGAGAGGCAGTGTCACTCCCATAGCCAAACCAGAGTTTCCAGCTTCTCACCGCTACGTGTGCAGGTTACAGGAGTGAGCTTCATGCTGACGAATGCTCCTTCTACCTATCTCCTTACCTGACCTCCAGGAAATCGTTGTCACCCACCCGCTTCCGCACCAGGTAGTCACGCACTTTGCCTCCTGCCTCTTGGTGCTCCCGCAAGAGGATCACATCTGCATCTATTTGCTCAGCCATGCTCTTCACGGTGGCGTAGGATGCTTCCATATCTGCATCACTGAGCCCGTACTCAGTCCCATCTAATGTAGGCATGGGGAAGAAATGAGGAACAGCTGCTTCAAATGTTTTGTCAGACCAGGAGTTACTTTGTCATTAATGTAACCTCACCAGGGTCTTGCCACAGATGGGCCAGGCAAGGAAATGAAGAATCCATTTAAATTTCAAATGCTTATGCAATGCAATGCATTTAACTGTTCATTTAGCCCTATTTCTCCAGGCTAAACAGCGTCCATCTCAAAAGTTTGGAAGGAAAGGTGGGATGTACGAGAGTCAATTGTGCTACCCTCTTCAAAACTTTGGCTCCATTAGTTGAAGACACAGCAAGAAGGTCATTACCTAATCCCACACCCTACTCTAGAGGTAGCCAAGATGCCCTCCAGATGTTTTGGACCACTGTTGCCATCAGAATTGGCCACCATAGCCAATGGTCAGGGATGATGGGAGCTGTAGTTCACAAGATGTGGTTGACTCCTCCTACCCTAACCCATTAAATGCTGATAACAGTTGAGAAACTTATGCTGGTGCAAATCTAACACTTGCTACACTTTCCCCCCTCCCCCCACCCGTTTCTTTGAAGACTGAGCAGACTGACATCACCTGAGCCAAGAACACCAATGCCAAAACCACCAGTCACTTCAAAGGCAGCAAACACCCTTTAATCTTTTACATTGGGTGGTGGGAGCAGAGAAAAGTAAATATGTAGCACTACCAAAAAAACCAAAACCCCAATTAGAGGAAAAACATTAACTGCCCTAAACATTTTCAACTTGCTTTAGGGAAAAAACCCATGACTGCATGCAATGCTAAGCTAAACCAGGGATTAGCAACAACAACCAAACACGCAGCTACCCAGAGTGAAAACCGTGGCGGCTTTGCTCCTCCACTGGTCCTGCTGCTGTTTCACTACTCAGAGCCAAACCATTGGCCTTAGTGTTACATGCAAACCCAAGCTTGAGGTTTTCCTCACTCTCAACAAATGGTGAACTTATTGTAACCAAGATTTGCTCTTGGTTTACCATTCACAGTTTGTTTGGGGAAAACAAACAATTCACTAGCTGCTAGAATTATGCGCAGATCATTCATGGTTGAATTTAGCCATAACTGTACTGAGTCCACTCTGGGATTGTGAGAATAGTACACATCAGCAGTGCACAGTAACAAAGGGATCTCTGTGCCAGCCTCTCTGGGAAAGTGGGGCTCTTGAGCATATGGTTTGGAACAGATCATTCAAATTATGGTTTAATAGCAGACAAGCTAAAACACATCCCTTCTTTACCCCACATGTCATTTGAATGGGATATACTTATTCAAAACGCAGGTCAGAATTGTTTACTGAAAGCAAATAGTTACTACTAGGCATATGTGGCCAACATGCAACACAGCATTAGCTGCATGCAGGAATAATCCAATGAATTTATTTGTGTTATGGAAGAAAGGCTTTTAACACTTGAGATCTAATATACTAACTGTCCCATCCCACAAACACTATACTTCAAGCAATAGCTGTTTCTGCTGAAACCACTATAGCATCTTTAGCTTGGCTTGTGGTATTGAAGGAGGAAACCATGCTCACCTGATCCTTGTCCAATGACATAGATGGTCTCCCCACATCCTTCATCCATCCTCTCCCACATCTGCCGCAGCAAGCTATCATACTGCTCTGATGTTGGGCTCACCATTACTAGCTGAAAATAAACCAGGTATCTGTGTTAAACATGCTGATATGGGGGAGAGGGCCAAAATCACTGGCACTAACTAGTAGATGATTTTCTCTCAAATTGTTTATGAAAGAGTTCATAATTATGAGACTCAGCTTATACTCAAAAGATATGCAATGTAGTCCTTTGGGGGGGTTATGACAGAGGAAATAAAAAAGGGTTGATATGACACCAAGGAGCCACAAAGTATAAAGGGAAATTCAGAAAGCTTAGCAAAAGCAGTGTGAAGAAGACTGAAGTGTATATATGTATGTATGTATGTATTTATGTATGTATGTATGTATATATATGTGTGTGTGTGTCTGTGTATAATATATGTGTGTGTGTGTGTGTGTTCATTTTAAAAACACTGTCGATCAAACAAATCCTTAGTAACGTAAAAAATATTATGCTGCTTTGTGATGGCTTAAAACAAAAAATAAACTCAAGGTACTCCTATTTTATTCATGAGTTAGATCACATGAAAAGCCACTCCACTTTTCCCTATGACTTCCATTTACCCACAACTGCAGAGGTCACACAAAAAATGTAAAGCACAACAGCCCCAGATGTCTGAACTTATAAAATGGCCCATCATCACTTTTCATGGATACCCTGCTCTGAGATTTTGTCCCTTTTGAGCACATCACATGATGCCCATCCAGCAGGTTAACTAACAGCCATGCAGGTATCGCTGCCCATTCTTTTGTTTAAACATCGCCCTTATTGCACTTTAGGGTAGTAATACAAAACATAAAGGCTATCCCTTTACAGTACTTCACCCACAGCACCTGTTTAACAATTTCAACTTTAACCTTTTTTTTTAAGCAATGCCATAAAAAGATAAGCGAGGAGCTTGAACTTTGCACTTAGAAGGGCTGTATTAACACAGCACGAGGGAAACTACAAACGGGGAAACAACAACTTCAGCTGAAACCGGGAGGGAGTAAGCTTCGCGGAAATGAATGGAACTTATTTCTGAGCAGGCATTATTTACAGGGCTGGGCTGCGGGGCTGCAATCCTAAACGTGCCTAAACGTGGGGTAAGCCCCACTGAAAACGGAGGGCCTTACTTGCGAGTAAGCCTGTTTACGGCCCCCCCCCCTTCTCGTCCCCGTCTGAATCCATTCTCGCGTGCCACGTACACCAGCCCTTGAAGCTGCCGCTGTCGCCCCATGGCGACACTCTCGCCCTCCTTGTGCCTCAGGACTCGCAGGGGGGTAGCCGCCTCAGGAGGGAGCGTCGGCAAGGGGCCCGGGGTACCCGCTCCGCGCTCCTTAAAGGGGGCTGGACGAAGTGCCCGGAAGGACAAGGGGAGGCACCGCCGCCAGACCGAACGGAGAGAGAGGGAAGTGCCGGAGCTGCCTCCGGGCGCGTGAGGGGGACCGGAGGCGCCAGGTACCGGGGTCTGGGCTGGCGGGGCCCTGGGTCTCCGCTGCCCCCCGGCCGCCGGGCCTACCTTGCTGGTGAGGTCGAGCTCGGGCTCCCCATTGAGCACCTCGCCGTCCTCGCTGCAGTCCGAGTCCGCGACGCCGCGGTGGAACCTGGAAGAGGCCGCCACTGCCCCGCCGTGAGAGGCGGGCTCCGGGGCGAACATCGAGGCCGGCACCGGCGAGCCCCCCATCGGGGAGCGACTGCGCTCCGTCGCCATCTTGGCAGCCCCGGCCTCCTTCTCCGGCCTCATTAGCATAGGCCCCGCCCACCCCTCGCGTCGACCGAGCCGGAGGAGCCCGCCGAGCTCCGCCCCCCGAACGGGCCTGCTTAATAATTTAGTACCCTGTTGACCAATCGGGGAGCAGCACTGTTAATACAGTAATTGCTGTATTGCTATGACAACCCGCAGCTAGAGCTTATTAATATGGATGAGCCATATGCCTCCTTCGAAGACCCTTTTTGCGGTTCCTCTGGTTCAGAAAATAAAAGCAGCGGCAGCAGCGCTACCGGGATTTTTATTTATCTCTATTCTGGAAACTCCGGGTGGGAGCGGGGCGGTGTTATATTTCTACCAGCTCGCGGCCAATGGGAAGGAAGAATGCATGATAAACAAAGTTCCTCGCCAATCGTGGCAAATATTTAAGTAATAGGCGGGAGTGGAGCCTCCGCCAATCAGAGAGCAAGATTACGGCCGAGGTGAGTAGGTGAGAAAAGAAGGCGGGAATTTGATCGTGGCGGCCAATAAGAAGGAGTGTACATATGCCAAAGCCAATCAAATACCCCAACCCATTTTGTGATTGAATGGGGGATTGCCTCTATTTACTTCTGTCTCTGAGACAGATTGTCTCGCCCGGGATAATCCCTGGCAAAAGCTGATGAAACGGGGTTGAAATAAATCGCTTTGAGCGGTGATAATCTTATGCAATCGAGCAATCATACTTGCGTTCCGTGACTTTCGCCCAAGGCCAATAACGTTTTATTTCCTTGTTTTTCAGCCTCATTTTGAGAGCGAGGAGGTGGCACTGAAACGTGTCTGGACTAATCTCCAAATGCTCAAAGGCTTCGTGTAAACTCAGCCCAAGCGCTTTTGTTTTGGCACTGGTATTCCTGGTTTCGCATTTCTTATCCATTAGGAATAAACTGAACGGCCCCCACGGACTTCAGTGTTTTGAGAAGCCAGCAGACAAGCAATAATAATAATGCTACTGCTATTGTTATTACCTGTTCTTCACCAGCAGGTCCCAGGCCAGGTTACGACAATCTAAAGTTCAAATTTAAAAATCACTTAAAATACATTACATTTGTAGAAAAAATGTGTGCCTTTCTTAAAACACATCTTAAAAGGCTGACCTGTACAAGCACTCAAAGACTAAATTTCTTTTGAGGGTTTTTTTTTTATCTAGTTATTTTAAGTTTCTTTAGATGGACAAATATTTTATATTGGTGTTCCATCTAGTCTGCACCTTTAGGAAAAGTAAGAAAGCTTTTTGGTATTTTAAAGATTAACATGTTTTGTAGCATAAGCTTTCCTGGGCCTGTAGGATGTGCCAATAAGCAAGGTGGAAGAATCACCTATCTTCTCAAAATACAAAATTCTTCCACACAAAAATTCCCATACTATGTAGACATGTATATATCTGGAATACATAAGGAAGAGAGGGAAATGCTGTATCTTTGTAGCGTGGAGTCACAATATTTCAATCACTGCAAGAGAGCTGTGTGTTACTGTACTATTCAGCACTCAATAATGAAATTCAATCCAGTCAGTTGTCGAAATCTGACAATTAGTGGCCAGTTCTTAATAAAAAGAGCAAGGTAAAATTAATGATATTGAGAATACTAGGGTTTTTCTTCTCACTGATGACATGAGGAAATGCAATAAATCACAGGTCAAAGTGGTGACTGCTCAGTTGCATAAGATTACAACAGTTGAGAATTATTGTGTTTCAGACTTGTGTAATAAGCATTGTCTAAGGATTGACCCAGACCCAGACTTTTAAATCTCAGTGTGAGAGAATAGAGGAAATCCCCATTCATTTATACAGTACACACAATATAAAGCTATAGGGAGCTGAGGGCCACTTATTTCCATGGGTGAAAAAAATCTCAGAAAATATTAAAAGTATTGATGAAGACTTGGATTTTCATGACATTTGGAATGGCTGAATTTATCAGCTTTTAGCCTACCTGTACTCTGTCTCTTGTATAATATTAATTTGGTTGATGAGTTATCCTGTGGAATGATGATTGAATTGCCTATGTTAGCTGTTGAATTTGTTCCCATTTTGCATTGGTAAGGACAGATGTGACTGACAGATGGAAGTGGAAAGATATTGGCCAGGCAACAGATAGCCCTGTCGTTTTATATGCTGTTTAACATTATAGTGGAATGATCTGGAGTCTCAAGACTGTGCTGCCATCAATATGTTGACAACATGCAACTTGAATTCTTTGTTACAGCTAAAGCAGGTGTGAGGTGGATGTGCTGGATCAGTGCCTGGTTTTCGTAATGGACTGGGTGAGAGCCAACAAACTGGAGCTCAGTCAGCGTAACACTGTGACCCCGTTATTGGGTGGTTCGTCTCTCTGAATGAGGTTACACTTCCCTTGATGTGTCGCTTGAAGAAACAAGTGTGCTGTTGGGTACACTTGGATTCAATCCAGTCATTTGGCACAAGGGGCCTCAGTATGGCACAGAGTGCCTTCTACCAGCTTTGGCTGGTAGCCCAGGTACAACCCTGTCTGGATAGGGATAGCCTGACCTTGCTTGTCTATTTTCTAGTAATCTCCAGTTTAAACTTTGAAGACTGTTTGGAAACAACAGCTAATACAGAATGTAGCTATTAAATTGTTAACTGGAACAAGAAGGCGTTAATACAAAGCATGGGACATGGCCAGTACAAATTGGCTGCCAGTTTGTTTCTGTACCCAGTTCAAAGTGCTGTTTTGACCTTGAAAATATATTTACCTAAAAGACTGTCTTCATATGAATCTGTCCAGAACCAAAGATGGTTATCTGTAGTCCTCCTTTGTGTGCCCCCTCTGAGGGATAAGGAGGGTGGCAAAGAGAGAAAAACCATTTATAGTCACCTCATTCATAGAATGCTGTCCACAGGGTGCCAACCATGTCATTTTAGCACCAGGCAAATATGTATTTATTTTCATGGGCATTTGGGCAACATATTAATACTAAATCTGTTTTTGATATATTTCTGTTGCTTTATTAGTGTGTTTTTTTGTTTTTTACAGTACTTAGCTGTAAATCATTTTGACACATTTATTTTAGTAGATAAAGTAAAGGTAAAGGGACCCCTGACTGTTAGGTCCAGTCGTGACCGACTCTGGGGTTGCGGCACTCATCTCGCTTTATTGGCCGAGGGAGCCGGCGTACAGCTTCCGGGTCATGTGGCCAGCAGGACTAAGCCGCTTCTGGCGAACCAGAGCAGCACACGGAAATGCCGTTTACCTTCCCGCTGGAGTGATACCTATTTATCTACTTGCACTTTGATGTGCTTTCGAACTGCTAGGTTGGCAGGAGCAGGGACTGAACAACGGGAGCTCACCCGTCGCAGGGATTCAAACCACTGACCTTCTGATCGGCAAGTCCTAGGCTCTGTGGTTTAACCCACAGCGCCACCCACGTCTGATTTTAGTAGATAGTGATACATAAATTCAGCATATGTAACCTAACCTATATAAGCTTGCCTTCTTTATGGTCCTTAAATCTTAAAGACAGCCCATATAGTTGAGGAAGTATGTGGGTCTTCCCCAACTGGGCGTCCCCCATGTGATGTTGGACTAACATGCTAATCAGTCCTAGCCATAGGAGCCAACTCCTAGGGGCCCTTGGGGGTCTTCAGCCTCCCAATAAAATATTTGAGGGGGCTGCCCCCCCAGTTGATGGGCATTGTCATTCAAATGGTGTACATGCACCATGTCGTGTGATCAATTATGTGCGGTGGGACTGCACCAAGAGGCGGGAGGCTAACATTGGTTACTGGCTCCCAGTTCTGATTTGAAATACTGCACAATCGCATCAACAGACTGAATACATAACTCTCGTTTATAAATAAAATCAAGGCTACTTCAGCTTCATCCCTGAGAAAAGGTCCATTCAGCAGCGCAGAGGCTCCCAAACTGTGGTCCTGCGTTGTGGGGGGGGGGGTGGAGAAATATTTTGGGAATCACTGCAGTCGGGTAGGGAAGGTTCTTTGCTGCTCCAGCACAAACGAGCAGCGGCTGTCATGCATGCAAGCTGCCTGAAATACAGTGGTACCTCGGTTTAAGAACAGCTCTGTTTACGAACTATTCAGTATACGATGTATGCACCGATTGGAATGTTTACCAATGTCAGGCACCCAAACGGAGCGGGCGAGGTGCGTTAAAACCATGACTCTCTGACTCAAAGGCATGCATATCGTTAATTATATTTTTATCCCACCCGCCACGCGGCTTAGGAATGCCTACACCCGCCTTTTATGTCCTTAACAACCCCCCTGTGAGGTGGGTCGGGACTCAGAGGACGCCTGGCAGAGAATACCGTCCGCGCCGGGCTTCATAGGCTTGAGGAGGAATTGTGAACACGCGGTCCTCCTCCTGGCGCGTCATGCCCAACCCGGAGCCCCACAACTCCGCACTGCCTAAATAAGGCACAGCTCAAGCCGCACGCAGCTCAAGCCGCACGCACAGCCGAGGGTTAAGATTTCAGAAGAGATTGTCTCCGGCGCCGTCTGAAAGGGAGGAGGGAGAGAGCGATCGCCGCCTTCTCTGACGTCACGCGGAACCCTGCTCCATAGGCCCGCGCCGGGGGCGGGCTCAGCGCGCTCACACACACACACACGCGCGCGCGCGACGGGGAAGGGCTCTGTTATGGTTGCGCATGCGCTGGCTCCTGGGTGGTTGTTGGGCTTCAGCAGGTTGGGGCCGCTAACGGGTGAGTAGCAGCGTGACGGGGGGACGGGGCTAGGGGTCGCGAAGGGAGAGAGGCGTCCCGTGCCCTCCCACCCCCCCAAAAAACAAGAATGCGGGAGGGCCTGTGGGGTTGCCCCCCCCCCACCTGAGTAGAGCTCTTTTCTCCCACACGTCACCCTGGACAGTCCCTTCTTCTTCCTCTCCCCTCAAAAGACTCTCCGGTTCCCCCTTCTCCCGAGTTGGCGAGTTCAACGCCTCCCCCCCCCCTCCGCGCCCCACAGTCCAGAGAAGCAGCTGCCCCCCCCCCGAGCGGGCACAGGGGCCTCCTGACTGCATGACTGCGGTTCCCC